TATATTTCCATTTGGCAAATTGTTTTGTTAAATCAAATTCAGTAGCTATCGATTCGCAAGAACTATAGATAGTTCATTTCTACATTTGAATAAGAAAACTTCCAAGGTATCTAACGAGGTCTCTAAGATCTATTTCAACCATATTTTTTGTAGTTTGAGTTAACTCAATCAAAATATATTCTTGATTCAAAAAAGAAATAGTTTCTGGCGGGGTTTCTGGTTAATTCAACATCATTGTTGCAAGATATATTTTTTTCCGTGTAAAAAAATGATAAAAATTCATTCGTTATTCGGTTGTTCGTTAGCATTTGGCGACTAGTGGTTTAGCAACAGGCCAACCACCACAAAGGAAGACAGTAAAGAGCGTATTATAAAACGACAACCGCACAATGCTGCCTCATAGTGGGTGTCTCTTAAATACGGATTATAAGTACTTTATGTAACTGCATTCCGAAACTTTTAACGCCATTCATATCCAAACTCGTATCCAAAGTACCCATTAATTATTTCGAAATCAAACCAATACAAAACCAACTTTCTGATCATGCCTAGCATCTGATGAAAAATAATTATATACAGGGTACAGGGTGTTTTCTATAAGGGCATCGATGTGATTTGAATTAATATTGAAATTCTCATTCACTAGTTTCTATACAAAAACATTCCATATGTAATGAAGGAAGGAAATGGTGAATGATCTTAATGATACTTTTAATTCAAATAAAGAAATTGGTGAATGATTAATTTATCAATCAAGATTACGGTAATACTTGATACTTGATACAAGAATGATTTTTTTTCTGTGACAGGAAAGAAGTTTGACATTTTATATCTGTTTAAATTTAACAAGATGTCATTTCATATACTCAATTAGTTTCTTCCCCGGAAAAAAGTGAGTACTTTTTTCCCCGCATATAATATACTATATTATTATAATATGTATTCACTATTGATGGCTTTTGTTGTTGTGCCATCTACTTTTCATTTTACCGCATACTCTTTTAATCAATCTTTGATTTTGAATTCGAGGTCTTATATGAATTTGGATATGTAAAAATGGAATGTTTTGAATTTTTCTTATCGAATTAGGAACTCTACCTGTAATTTGCTTCGATATATATTCATCAGTTCCGAAAAAAAAACAATTAGATTTTGGCTGTCGTTTTTGTCTCACAACCCACACAAAACAACCTCGAGCTGATATATCTGAAACTTTTTTCCCTTGTATAATAAATAACTATTTTTCTGTGACGGCAGGAAACAGTCACTTTTCATAAATTACTTCTTTCCCACAGAGAAAACTAGTGCATTATATACGGAAAAATATTAGATTTCAGCTCACGGTTTTTTTTGTAAAACCTGGAGCTAAAATCTACTACTTTTTTCCCTTATATAATAAATTACTATTTCACCAGAGTACCTATTATAAAATATCTCGAATAAAGCAACATAGCAGCACCAGAATTACAAAATATAGCAACCCCAATTAATGAATAAATACATTTTCTAGAAATTAAAGATACTTTGTCCGTCGACCTCGTATTATCGAGTAAGTTTAATGTTCATGAAATCGTTCATTGATGACCCCTATTAATGATCAATTTGTCTATTAATGCACGATTGTTTTATAGGCAACCAAACATACACCGCGTGCATTCATTGTTTATGCTATAAATTACGGAATCTGCATTTAAATCGAAAATATGGATTTCATCGAAGATTTTCTGTTAACGGGTTCGCCTTTCCAAGTTTCTGAAACGATTTTAATCCCTGTTTTCTAACACAAGGAATTTATTTTCTATGTTGATCATTTCGACAAATGTCAAATGTCACTAATGTCAGTAACAAGGCTACTGGGTGATTCTTAGTAGTTTCCGGATGGATGATGAATTCGCAAACCAAGTTTTCTTCATTGCAGGAGGAATGAGATATATAGTCGACGGAAAAATTTTGTAACCAACTTGTATATTAAAAGGCGATTAATTATCTCGAACATTAACGCGCTCGCTTCGCTCGCACGTTAAAATATCTCGATCATTAATCGCCCTCATTAATACACTAGTTGGTTAAATAGCTATTAGTGTGCAAGTTTGGTTTCATAGCGGTGAATTGAAATCAAAAAAATTACGCAGGTTGTGAAAATATTGTTCGTAATATCATGATGCCCTATTCACATCAGAAAAATAAAACGTATACAGTATAATATTATTTGTTTTAACTGTGGTATAGTTAAAATAGGATATTTTATTTATTTGATATCTGCTTTTGCTAAGTGATAGATAACTCATCGACTGTATGTTGAGGGACTATATTTTATCAATCATTTATTCCATCGATATAAAAGTACCAAAAAATCGTTAAAAATTCTGTGATTCGGCTCAACAAATATAGACACAATATTTCTCAGAGCTATAGTTGAAAAGGAAATAAGTTGTTTTCATGAACACACTTTATAGATAAATAGCAGATTCAAAATGTATTATATGTGTGAAAATAAATTGGTACATGTATAAAGTTTCCTAAAAGTGGCTCATCCCTTTAACTCCTTTGTTTCAAAACAAAAAATGAAATTCGGTTTTACCGAAAATAACCCTTACTTCCCTATCTTAAATGGAACACTTAGTATATTTTTACGTACCTATTTTCATAGAGAATCGACACACTGAATTTCATGTTACTCTGTAGCAACAGAAAAGTTATAGGGGTGAGCCATACTTTTGAGAAACTCCCGGTATATAGTATTTTGTATATTCCTATGAAAACAATGATGAAATGAACTGACTCTCTCAACAACTGGTTATGACCGAATATGTCGGTTTGAATTCATCAAATCTGCAATATTTGCTAAAGCTTTCCATATTTCATTTTGTATGTTTAAAGTACCGGCATATTGTGTATTATTGTATTGTGAGGGTTCCGAATAAATATTTGTAATCCCAGATGAATAAGTTCGCTGGTTTTATACGACAAGATTTTCCGAATAATCCATCAGTTATCGGCTTTTTTACCCTCACAGCTGTAAAACATGGCAGTTTCCAAAAGCAATGTTCCATTTAGCTCGCGAAACAATCTATTAAAACCACCCCTATTGATTTATTCCCTTGGAATAACCATTATTTAAATCTCCCTTTCACGCTCTCGACAGTATCTCGATCTGAGATCTATATTTCTCATTTTTACCTATTCTTTTCACTTATTTCGTTCGACGGCTGCTGACAAGTGTGTGAAAAGCGTTTAGTTTAGTCATTTACTTCAGTTAGCGGAACTACGTGAATGTTCTTTGATGAAAAGCGACTATTCCAAGTTTGGTTGATGTTTAAATTATTATTGTTACATACAAAGAGGTCATAGCTACATTTTACAATAATTGGTTTCGTATCTGTTGACTGTTATGACAAAATTTTCACATTCAACAATAATTATGTTCATACCATTTCAATGTGTGTTTTATTGTAAATTCTGAGCTAATGCTTTAGTTGAAGTTGTTAAAAATCACGGCCTGATTCGATAACGATGTTGATGACGTCAGTTGTTAATGTTGATATTGCTACGACAACAATATCCTTAGTAGTATTCACAAGTCGACATATTATGAATGAAATGCACATTTTCATCCTATGGAAGAATGGCATGGTAATGTATCTTGCATTTTTTCGGCGGAACCTGACCAGGTGCGCTCGTCCCGCAAAATTACATCGTTACACAAAATGACGCGTTTCCTAACTAGTAACGTAATTTTAATGAGAACTTTTGCTTGAACAGAAATAATTACAGTCCTATTTGACTTCCACCGATTATGTTCAATAGTATATTATGCAACAAGTGGGAAAAGTTCAACTTTTCTCAGGAGTGCGAAAGTTTGTTGCACGAGCCTGAAGGGCGAAAAAATGCGCTACTTTTCATAGGAGTAGTGAAAAAAATGTATTATAGACTAGTTGACTCCGCCCTGTCACTTTGACGTCCATCAAACACTAATAAAATCTAGTGTAAAAGTCCATAGCTCAAAGTAGTGTAAAGTAGTGAGTAGTAAGAGACAAACACAAAATCATCTCGACAACGTTCAATTACCTAAAAGGAATTGTTTCGGACATCAATAGTGTCCATCATCAGCCGAAAGGTAGAAATATCCTACAAATGATACAATATTCTAGGTGTTGAAAAGGAATATTCTCAGATAAATTATGAACATACAAAAATTAATATATATTTATATAAAGCAATACATTGAGAATTCGCATTCTCTATGTGATGAGAATATTAACTCTTTTTCAGTTTATTCAATAGAAAACAACTACTTTCCTGGCTATCTGCCATGACGAACATATCTATCGAACACACACGATAAGAGATTGAAAATGAAATATAAAAACTTCGGAAATTGAGTATTTTTATTCTCCTTCAGACAAAAATATGTATATGCACACATCATTCTGAATATTCAACAGAAAACAACTACTTTCCTGGCTATTTGCCAAGTGAAAAATAAAGAAAAAAATCCTCCGAAATTGAGAATTGACATTATTCTTCAAATCGGATGAAGAATATGATGAATAATGATATAGAAATATAACTTACCAATATATTCAGCATTGAAATGAAAATTGGAATGTATAGGAGAAGTATACTGGCATAAACTCTGATCTCGATGAGCTTGAAAACTTCCAAAAATAATCATTCATATCAGTGATATGGGAAATATTATCTCTCACACACAGGTTATATGACTTTATTGCAATGGAACCATTTCGGATTTCTGAATCCTCATCAGTAACGAAATGACATCTGAGAAAATTTGTTGACATGCTATTCCTGTCATTCGGACGTTTTTGCTTTTGGGTGTATGAATGTCAATTTATCATACACCCAAAAGCAATATTCTAGGAATTGTCTTTTATATACTTGGGATTATTCTGCTGATTACGGTGTTGCCAAATGATGTTTTTTTCCGAAACACTCCGAAAACATAGTTTTAATTTCTCTTTTTCTAATTATAATTTCAGACTGATGGAAAGGGTGACCGTCATGTAAAACATCGACAATCCGACCTACACCCAGCACGACCACGATGAGTTGGCAACCGGGCCGCGTGCTGCTGCAAGGCCTCCTCCTGCTCGTCTTCACTTTCCATTGGTTCGCTTTGGCGACGTTGCCGAGCAACGCGAAATTCTACACGATACACTGGAACTCGTCGAACCCCATCTTCAGAATCGACAACACCGACAACATCATCGATGTCAATAGGAATAACGTTAAGTTTGAATATGATCAGGTAAGATTTGTGAGAATAATTATTATTTGTGTTGAACAAGTCAATGAAGTGGTGATTTTTTGTGAGTAGAAGGAAGTTGATATAAACTTCCTTATTCCGAATGGAACACCTCGTGAAACGCCTTGTATTTCATCACATTTTTTGATTCAACATGAGTCATGGAAACCATCCAACAAAATTATATTAATCAAATTATACTAATCATAGTGCCTAGTTTCGGCTCAACGGTCATCTTCAGACACTTTTTTTTTGTGTTCTGGTTCCCATGAAAAGGGATATCCTGTAATTTTCAGAGAACATCGTGAAAACCAAGGAAAATGAGGTAGAAATTGGTGTTCTTCTTAAATTTCTGGAGGTTATATGCCTCGGGGAACAGCTCCCTTGGCAATGTGTTCCAGAGCCTCACTGTTCGTTGGATGAACGAGTCTTTGGAAAGAGATGTTCTGCAGGTCTACAAAGTGACCACGAAGGGGTGCGAATCCTCAACTCGACGGGTTAATCTCGCGGGGACTGCCAAGGGAGGAACATTTGTTGATATTTCAGAAGGGCATCGTCGATGAAAATATCTATAAAATAGAGCCAGATCGCCAACTTTTCTACGGTGTTCCAGAGAAGTGAGTGAGTTTGAGAGCGAGGCATCACCCACGAGACGAATTGCCCTTTTTTTGACAGAATCCAACAGTTTCAGGGTATGTTTGGGTGCTGCTTTCCAAATATGGGAACAGTATTCCAGGACAGGTCGGATCTTTGCCTTATAGGTCACTAGCAGCTGACTGGAGGTGAAATAGCTCCTGGCCCGAAACAGAAAACCAAGTGTTTGGGATTCACTTTCAGCAATTGATCTTACGTGATTTTCCCAAGAAAGGTTATTGCTGATAGTAATACCATGCATCGAAATGGATGTCTTCAAAGGTATGGTTACTCTTGACAAGCTTATGTTGGGCATTGAAATCTACCAAGTTATTGGAGGATTGTTGCCAAGTCCATATTTTTGTTGTCAACATTTCTCCCTCGTTCGTTTCTGATTTGCCTGGCTGGTATTGGAGCCTTGGAAGAGGAGACGGTATGGAGGGTACTATCATCCGCGAAGCTGTGTACTGGACATGAAGTTGTTTCCAACAAATCGTTGATATGGAGTAGAAATAGTGTTGGTGCTAGAATTAATCCTTGCGGAACACCAGCATTTATGATAAGAGAGTCAGATGAAACCCAGTCGACCACTACATGGAGAGACCTGTTTGAGAGAAAACTAGCTAGCAGAGAACATAGCTGGGGAGGCAAGCCGCATAAGATGGAAGCTTGGCGAGGAGTCCGTGGTGCCAGACTCGATCGAATGCCTTGGAGATATCAGAGGTTCCACCATGTTTTTCAATAGATTGCTGCCATATATTGTGTGAGACGTTAGCGAGCAGGTCACCAGTTGATCTCTGATGACGGAAGCCATATTGCCTATCGTTGATAATACCTGAATGTTCCAGGTATTTCATGAGCTCGATGTTGATAGCTTTCTCCATGATCTTTGAAATAATAGATAGCAGTGCTATCGGTCTGTAGTTGCTATGTCTTTTTGCCTCTTTTAGGAACTGGTTGTACTCTCGCAATTTTCCAGTTGGACGGGAATATCCCCAATTTGTCAGAGTAGTTGAACAACTTCCAGAGAACAGGTGTTAGTTCGGGAGCACATTTCTTGAGAAATGGTGGGATTCCGTCGAGCCACAAGCTTTGTTGGTGTTGATATCCAATAAAATCTTCCTTATAGTACGTTGGCGAAAGGTGATCTCGGGCATATGACTGTCAATTGACGTTATGTTTGGAGGTTGTTTTTCCGAGGAATCCAGAGTGGAATTTGCAGCAAACAAATGCGCAAAAATTTTGGTTTTCTCCTAGGCAGTTGTGACTAGTGTTCCATCTTCCTTGGTTAGAGGAGGAAACGAGCTGGAAGTGAAGTTTCTTCCTACAGCTTTTGCGAAGGACCAAAATGAACGGGAATCGTTAGGACTTTCAACAAGCTTTGGCATTATGAGCATCCTTTGATGATCGAATTGTCTCATTACATATGCCTCTATCCTCGACATATTCTGCTCTAATCCAGTAGCTATTCTCCTTGCAGTGTTCGGTATGTAGGTTTGCAACCCCAACATGATGATTTCAGAAATTGTCTCAGCACATCGTGTTGGATCTGCTGAGGAGAAACAAACTCTTCCATGGAAACTGCAAAGAAGATAGAGGTTGTCATGTGAATTGATCAACAGGCACCAACATAAATTTTTTTCTATCTATAGTATGGAAATAAGACTTTCCCTTTAGAGGTGTCCATTTTGGCCCACCCTGTACAACCCCATTGTCCGATACTGTTGGTATTGTATTTATCCATTTGCCTCCTTTTTGCAGGTGAACCTGATCTGTCCCGTGTACACGCCAGGCACGCGGGACGACGAAATGGAGAAGTACATCATCTACAACGTCTCCAAGGACGAGTACGAGACGTGCAGGATAACGAATCCCAATCCGAGGATAATCGCGGTGTGCGACAAGCCTTACAAGCTCATGTATTTCACTATTACCTTTAGACCGTTCACGCCTCAGCCGGGCGGGCTGGAATTTTTGCCAGGTAAGGAAAATAGTTATTCATATATCGAAGACTGGAACCTTTGGCACGATAATACACTACACTGTTTTACCACTAACTAGATTAATTTAATCTTCTCCTGAAGATGCTAACATAGTTAGCGAAACACGTGTAGGGTATAGTTATTCACGTATCAAGTGTGTAAAATCGTTACCATCGAGATATTGTCTCGATATAACGGTAAAATTGACTTTTATTGACCGTAGCATCTCAGAAATATCAAAATAACGTCGAAAAAATTCTAGAGGTGTTTCCATGTGATTCCCTAGCTTGCCCCGTTTTTGAGATAGAGGTATTGATTGTTTTTATTTTATAGCCCCCTGTATAAGCTTTCATGGTGCCGAAATTCAGTATGGATGGAGACCTAGAAAGCCCCAGAATTTCAGAATGATTTTAATTGGGGTTATTGACTAATCTCAATGGAAGTCTTGAAAACACCTACATCAAAATTTGGAGTGAAATCGAATTTTTATTGTTTCCTCATAGACTAAACTAGATACAAAAATCACACAGAGGATAAAAAAGTTGATATTTCAATAGTTCAATTCGATAACAATATGAAACTTAGAAAAACCGGTGGCGTACAATGACATTCAGCATGAATATCGATAATCTTACCCACTGTGACGCCACTGGAAATATTATTCTGAATCTAATTGCACTAGGAGAAGCCTCATATTACTATTTAACAAAACCCCAACGTTTTATTAATATTGATGAAAAGACAATTGGGAAATGAATAGAAAAAATATTTTTCATGGAAATATTAATAGGTAGTGTTTATATGAACTTTATTTCCTAAAATGTTTTTTCGGTGTCATTTAGATACACACAGTATAAATGAATGTTTGTCTGTATGTCCTTTTTAAATTTGTCATCGGCTTGAACGATTTCACTAAATCTTTATTTGTTGTGCTTGTTATTGTAGGGAGAAGGTTCCTATGTGAGAAAAAAATTGAGAAATTCAAGATGGCGGACCCAATATGGCGGACAAAGTTTGTAATTATAAACCGATTCCATTCAAAATTGGTATTTGGAGATTTTGCGGTCGTAGATTATGATTCTTTTGTCAAAATTGGAAAATTCAAGATGGCAGATCCAATATGGCGAACGAGCGAACGAAAACAAATGCCTATCTACTTTTAGACTAACCTTCAGTTCATACGATTTATACCTACTTGATTACAATTATTCAATATTCTTATGTTTCGAATATTCGTCGTTACCACTTGCCCCAAACTTATCATGTTACCTTCTTCTCCTTTTTCTTCTTGATCTTTCAACGTCAGCCTCTTCTAGAAGGCTGAAACAATGATGCTCCAACAGGCAATTTCGCCGAATTCCCTGGTGTTTGAACAGGGGGGTAACTTGAATGGGATATTTTGATTAACACCTAATTCTTTTTCTTTTTTTGCCTCTTTCTATGAGGAAGTCATACAAACACATGAAATAATACTTCTGGTATCCTATTTATAATGTATTTTGAAGTCGCGAAATAAGGAATCACAGTTCAATATGTGACTCCTTATTTCCTCAATTAATGTAGAATAAATAGATTCTTGCAAAATTACTGGAAAAACATCAGTCAGGCACCATTACTCTTTCACGACCTGTTGATAGATTCAATGAAAATAAACCAAAATGGAGTCTGTTTGGCTTGCCAAAGTCGCCGATAAATAAACAAATAAAATATTTCTAGCCGTACCTAGATCGCCAGTACAAATAATTCCGAATTATAAATAGAAATATTATTATTCACGTTCATGAAAACTATACGAAATATTAATCCTCTTATAACGGATACCCGATATTCATGAGAACAACAAAAACATACCGATTCATCTCAAAATATTTTTCATCTCGAACGTTTTGAAGAGAGTCATATCGAAATTATATTTTTTTTCTTCTCCGACCCCTATTAGTATGTAACTTCACTATAATCAGAGATTAGCTATAATCAAACATACATTGAGAATTCGCATTCTCTATGTGATGAAAATATCAATTCTTTATCGGTTTATTCAACAGAAAACAACTACTTTCCTGGCTATTTGCCACGTCGAACATTGAATTATATCTGTTGAACATCCAACAGGAGAGCATGAAAAATCGGATAAATAATATGATGTACTATGATATAAATATATATTTTACCAATATGTTCAGGATTGAAATGAAAATTGAAATGTATAGGAGAAGTATACTTGTATTAACTCTGATCTCTGATTCCTGAATAGATCGATTCGATATTTGCTGCTTTGAAGTGCCTTGCTGTTTTGGTAGAGGTTTAAATATTCATTTAATCATAGATAAGCTATAATCCCGCTTTATGCATTCGATATCAGAATTCAAAGGTTATATTTTCCGTTTTCTCTATGTTGCCAGATTTAATTTACTTGAAAACAATGGAAATAATCGATTATCATCTATAAAATCTTTCGACTTTTCACTTAATTCCATTAATTTCATGATTCAGCTTACACAAATTTATGTCGATGTTTTTTCACCACTAGCTATAGAACCTACCATTATTTACTCCTTTCAAAAGTGTGTTTTTCTCTACCAAGGTAGTTTTCGTCATTTTATGAACTACTAGTCAATAAAGTTATATTTGACCCGAATTCACTGTTCTGATGCGAGATTCGCAGGAAAATGCCACTCGAATCTAGTAGGTATTTATCAATAACGAATTGCCATTTATACTATCTTGGTCATGGCTATACTAGATTTTAATGAGAATTGAAAATACGTACGTACGTAAAATAGGTCCATTCTTCAGTTTCACAGAACTACAATCATTGCTAGTGGTGAAAAATATTTGATGTACATCTAGGAAAAACCAAAATACTCGAAAGTGGAATGCAATGGTCACAAAGAGAGAAACTCAAAATCATTACCACAGTTTTTTTCTGGTTATGTCAACAAATTATAATTCTCAGATGTCAGTTCGTTATAGTTTTAGGGTTTCGAACTGTCTGCTCTGCACTGATGAGAGCCAAAAGCTCAAAACCGGTATGCAGGTAGTCATGCGTTCCTGAACCACTTAGGCGCAGCTCGGCGTTTAGGAAGGAAACACTTGCGATTTTATTCGTCTATACAAATTATTGCATAGATTTCGGGAGGATGTAATCCTGAAATGTTCTGCGTGGCATATAGCCAGAAAAGTAGTTGTTTTTTTCTCGTTATCAACCATTTTTGTTGATTTTATGAACTATTGTGGTAATGACTGTGAGTTTCTATCTTTGTGATTTAATGTACACCTCGGTAGTAAGGAATATTATACTACCCGATCTTATAACTCGGCTGATGCCTCGGCATGTAATCTTGGTCCCTGGGCTAGGGGATAATGGTATTCTTTTCTACCTTGTAAAAATAACTATTCTACATTCCATCTGGCATCTGAACTATACTCAATTATTTCGTGAATAATTTAGTTCATACTCGTCGACTAATCGGATAATCCGGATTACACAGAATATCTTTGTACCTATGTGTAAGTACCTAGTAAATATTACAATAGGGCCTCATTGAAGTCAATATTGAATGTCTGATTTCACAAATATACAGAGTGTTCTCAAAGGTGGGGCATTCTTTTTTGGGAGATGTAGAATTCATTGAAATATCAAATCCTCCAAATATCGCCTCAATGAAAGTTATATAATAACGAAGATATTGTCAATTGAACATTTATTACATTTAGAAGTATAATGAACTTGTTTACATGCCTTTTATTCATGGTGTGTGTCGCCAAAGTGCAGCAGCAGCAGCAGCATTACGTTCGTATACGAAAGGATTCCCGTTAACAAATCATCCAACTCAGCAAATGTTCTTTGTTTTGGTTTAAAGATGTTGTGATACCGGGTGTTTGAAGAAATAAATAGAAGGGCATGTGGGAAAGCTTGTACCACCCGAAATTGTAAATATACCGCAGTTTTTGAACTTCATCATTTTAAAACTGTTATATGGGCAATTTTTATTCTATCTGTGAGTTTTTGAACTTCATCATTTTGAAACTTTTATATGGGCAATTTTCGGCGATTTTGTCAATTTGCTGAGTTCTACATCCTCTTGAATAAATGTAAAATCGCGTTTCAGCTGCTTGTGAACATGGCAGAAGTCAGAAACTAATTCTGTGAATTAAGAAAAGAATAAAAATAATTATTTGTTCAACAAGGCAGAAAAGTACAAGATTTAATGTCGCGGCTGGCGTTGCATAGCCTAGGCGTAGCCGAGGCTAGGAAACCAGCCAAGGCATTACATCTTCTTTTTTGCCATGTGAAACATATAATTTTTTCTCCAAATTCTTTTCAATCCCACGCAAAGTCCAAATAATCCATCATTTCTTGTTCACCCAAAGTCAATGTCAATTTTGATTACCAATTTGATTCAAATTACTTGTAACGTTGCATTCAACAAACTTTTTCTGCCTAGGCAGTAAAAGTACACCTTTTCTGCCGGTTAGGGTCATTGTAAAGTAACTTTTAATATCATTTGGAGAAAAATAGTTATTTATTATACAAGGGAAAAAAGTAGTAGATTTTAGCTCCAGGTTGTGTTGTCTCCCGACGCGTAGCGGAGGGAGACAAAAAACCGTGAGCTAAAATCTAATATTTTTCCCGTGTATAATACACTATTTTTTTCTGTGACAGAAGGAAGGACGAATCAATATTGGGAAGATATTACATTATTTCGAAATCTGAAAATTATCGACGTGAAATTTCAAGTTTTTAACAGTAGGGACACCTGCGTTTTATAGACATCTTTATCATTCTTTTGAAGTAATCAAATATCTGATGTCACTTCTGTCAGTTCAATTCTGTGATTTGATTTTGAAAAATTGCGAATTCAGTAGTTGTTTAGTAATATATGAAACCGCGAAGTCGAATGGAAGATAAAAGGACTCGCAGTTCTTTCTCGGGGACGGTATTATTGACTAATTTTTCGGAACTATAGCACAACAAAAGCCATTAACAGAGTATATATATGTGATATATATCCGGGAAAGAAGTACTCACTTTTTTCCCACGGGAAAAAAGTAATTTATGAAAAGTGACATTTTATAACCTGCCAACAGAGATGAAATGCCAAACTTTTTTCCCGTCACAGAAAAAATACTTTTTCAATGTTTTCTCATAAACTTCATGGAGGAATATAAATCTGGAGATAGGAATCTGCCTCAGTATACAAGGCAAGATACGAATCTTTCTTGATGGTGAATGAGTACGAACATTTGAATATTTTCTGGATCAACAGTTTCTTTCGAAAATTTGCCTGCTTCTATTGTGTACGTTTCCTGCGTAAAAAATTCATGGACTGAGTCAGCCATCCTATTGATTCGTCCAACTGCTTGGTGATGGATAACAATTCAACCATTCTAGTCAAGTAGGTGAGTTGTTTTTGTCTGATTCCGTTCAGGTTGCCGGTCGATGCTCGACCAAGTAAAGAAAATTATTCACTTTTCAATATTTGATAGCGTAATTGTTGGGTACAGAGACTAAACGTCCTGTTATATTTAATATTCCCTTTTCGGGTTTTAGTTTTCCATGAAACTCGTAGTTACAGCGACTATTTTGTCTATATTTAACTATATCTTTGTTCTCAAGCACCTGCTGATGTACAAAGGGAAAGTTCTCATACTTGAACTGTAATGAAGTTACAAAAACAGTGAAATGGAAATGACTAAAAACATGGAAATGAAACGGATACATCTATGACTAACAGTTTCGAATTTCAAACTGAAATTTACGTTGATGAAACAGAAACTCCAATAATTAGGTATATGTATTGCAAATTCCCAATTGAAAAACTATACTCGTCTTCCTAACCTGTTCACCATAACAATTAAAGGGCTAAGAATGAAAAGGGTATACATCGCATGTTGAACAATTTGAGATCTACAAGTTTACTGTCGATAGAAAATTCCAAATGCCTCAGATTTCAAATAACTCATTGAATTGATTTTTCAAATACATATCAGTACCTCTAACGAATTCTCGAAAATATCAATAAAAAAATAATTGTTTTTCAAAAAAAATAAGTTGATGATGGTTTCTGGAAGGCGAAACGTCAGATTTCGAATTTGAAAACCCCATCGTGTAGGCAAGAAAAAGTGGCTATGATTTTGTTTTTATGTTCTGGTTCCCACGAAAAGGGATATCTTATAATGTTCAGAGAACATCGTGAGAGCTAAGAGAAATAAGGTAGGAATTGGTGTTCTCCTTGAATTTCTGGAGGTTATATGCCTCGGGGAACACCTCCCTTAGCAATGTGTTCCAGAGCCTCGCTGTTCGTTGGATGAACGAGTCTTTGGAAAGAGATGTTCTGCAGGTCTCCAAAGTGACCACGAAGGGGTGCGAAGCCTCAACTCGACGGGTTAATCTCACGGGGACTGCCAAGGGAGGTACAATTGTTGATATTTCAGAAGAGCATCGTCCATGAAAATATCTATAAAAAAGAGCCAGATCGCCAACTTTTCTACGGTGTTCTTGAGAAGTGTGTGAGTTTGTGAGTGAGGCATCACCCACGAGACGAATTGCCCTTGTTTGGACAGAATCCAACAGTTTCAGGGTATGTTTGGGTGCTGCACTCCAAATATGGGAACAGTATTCCAGGGCAGGTCAGATCTGTGCCTTATAGATCATAAGCAGCTGACTGGAAGTGAAATAGCTCCTGGCCCGAAACAGAAAACCAAGTTTTTGGGATGCACTTTTCGCAATTGATCTCACGTGATTTTCCCAAGAAAAGGTATTGCTGATAGTAATAACAAGCATCGAAATGGATGTCTTCAAAGGTATAGTTAGTCCTGATATGCTTATGTTTGGCACAGTGAGATCGGCTTTTCTAGAGAAAAGTCATGCTTGTGTTTTGTTTGCATTGAAATCTACCAAGTTATTGGATCTCCAAGTGTTATTCATATCGAATAATTCCTTCAAATAACGCTAGAAAAAAATAAAGACGGTTTTAGGAGATTTCGATCCTTTTCGGATATCTCCGAAAGTATTCGGAAATCTCCAAGTTTCAGAACGGCATTCCGTTAGGCATCAAATTACGCAACTTTGCCATAATCTAATCGACCCTGTATCTCTTACGGTTTGCGAGATCCCAATGATGAGGCTCGAACTCCAGCCACCCTGTACAACCCCATTGCATCGTGATTTTTCAATTCCATCAAAATTTCCGTTACTCGAAAGTGATATTTTTCTGTTGTTTCAGGCCACGACTACTACTTCATCTCGACCTCCACCAGCGACGACCTGCATCGGCGCATCGGCGGCCGCTGCACCACCCACAACATGAAGATCGTGTTCAAGGTGTGGGGCGCCCCTCCGACGGTCGCCCCGCCCCCGCCGCCGCCCGCTCCCACCGCCAAGCCCTCGTGGTGGGCGGTCGCGCCGACGCGCACCTCCCCCCTGGACCACCCAGGGCCCGCCTCCCACGCTCGCCCCGCCCCCGCCCACCACCAAGAAGTCCAAGACTTACGACAAGCACCCCAACGAGGTGGTGAAGAGTGAGGAGTTGACGCTCGCCGCGGGCGGCCTGTGCGCGAACGCCGTGCTGGTGGCGAGTTTGTGCGCGTGCGCGGTTTGGATGCTGCGATGAGATTCGTAAGCCCCGCCCCTCTCCCCTGAGGCAGCGCGCGAGAGGTCGGACGAGCGTGAGTTTGGGTGTGGGCGCCTTTTTAGACCGGTCGGAGCGATTCTGGGCATGGCGGTCAATTCTAATATCAGTGTCTGTACCCATCCTCAATAATATGGCATTAATTATTTCTGAGAAGTACAACAATAGTTATTCATGCACCAAGGTAGTCAAGAATATCATTATTACCCAGGGATCAAGATTATATCTAGAGGCTGCAGCCGAGGAGTAATAGTATTCTCTACTACCAAGGTGTTGATTGAATTTGTTTCACCATTCGCAATATATTTCGGTCATTATAGTTTTGTTTTCAATCCTAATCAGAATCTAGTTTCCATTACCATGATAGTATACGGCAAGTCGTTATTGATGTATACCTCCTTGATTCGAGTGCCATTTCTGTGAATCTCGAATCAGAATAGTGAATTTGGTCAATTATCACAGAGTTCATAAAATGATGGAAACTACCTTGGTAGAGAAAACCTCACTCCTTGAAATGGAGTGAATAATGGTTGGTTATATAACCAGTGGTGAAAAATCCTCATTAATTTTATTATCATTTGATGATGAGGAAGAATAATATTGAATATGCTGAGTTGACTGTGGTAGATAAGAATGTCCTCTGGCTCGTCATACCATAATGAATTTCCACTTTTCAAACTCCAACAGGGGGGTATATCAATGAAAATTCAATTCACTATATCAATCTCTATAGTATTTTTCCAAAAATCAGTTGGAGAAAAATGATTGAAGTTAATGGTTGCTGGATTTGAAGCTACTACCTCTGACGTATCAATAAAACACGTAAAAATAAGTTGGTCCGTACTTTTTGAACAAAATAATTCAATTTTCATGGTGCTATTCTATATTTTGGATCCCTTTTTCTGTAAAGGGCAAGTCGATCATATTATATTTGCTGAAAATATAGTTGAACGAAATTACCTTTCCAACATACAAATGCGGCCACGGTGAACTTTTTTTTTTCATTTGACTCGACCGTTACTTGATGAACATCCATAGTAATTGTAAAATACTTCACAAACGATAGGATTTTCACAAAATTCAACACTACATGGTTTGCTAACACAGAATAGCTTCTTCAAGTGAACATTGAGTTGCATAACTTTAATAATATCATATTTTCCAAAACTAAAGGATTGAAACTACCTGTGGAAAGGTTAATTTAAGCGATAGGTACACCTAATTTGATGTAGATTATTGAGCATACTTTCCGAAAATGAAGACTTGATTAACCTTTCCACAGGTAATTTCAATCCGTTAGTTTATAAGTATGAAAAGTTGAGCAAGTCAATGTAAGTTTAGTTCATTGTACAAATATTTCACTTGAAGGAGCTACTGTGTTAGCCAAACTTCTTGTGTTATTAAGAATCTTGTGGAAATATCATCGTCTGTAAAGTTTTTTCCCAACTAATTCATTTCAATGATTTCTTCATACTTTTGAATATGTTGTGAGACTTACACAGCACAGACATTGTTGTATAATATATTTTTGCCAAGGAAAGATACGGATTTGAATTGACCGCCACAGTTGAAATCGTTCTGATTGGTCTAGAAATGCATCCATGCCAAAAGTCACGGTTAGTTGATTCTTGCCCGCAGCGCTGCCCAGTCCAGTCCGCCCGCGGAAGACTTGATGTGTTGTTTCCATTCCCTGTCGTCCCATCCTCACTCGTTTTTCGTACGGTTATATTTATATACTCATGTACTGTCTATGGTGACCTAAAACTATTCCTAACTTATACATATATTATTATATAAAATGAAATTGGCACGGCATCGCCGGGGTTCGGTCGAAGATCGGTTGGTTCGAAGGTTAGATACCAGTTTTTTCTCTGGGAATTCCGAGAAAAATCGGTTATCAATTGCAATGTTGCATGTTTCTCCTTCAGAGTTTCAATATGAGGTTGGTAATGCATGAAACTTGGACAGTTGACAGAGAGAACAAGACTTCTAACCTCAAATTTTCGATTAGATTGGCTGTGATAGGAAAAGTGGCCATGTGTTGCTCTCTCTTCAAATATATATTTCAATTAAATAATTGTGTTTCAGAAGGAGTCAACAAAGGATGAACATGCATATTATGTGCAACCTTCTATGTTTCATGTTGGAATCCTGAAAGAATCAGAAAAAAAAAACTTATTATTTGCTCTGGGCTCACTAGCTGGGTGTAAGAACTCTCTCCATGTATTCTGTATATCTTATTTCAAAGCAGAGTGGAGATTTGTATGCTTCAAGAGTTTATGTGAACATAATAACTCCTTTTTTTTCAATTTGAGATGAATAATTGTCATTTATTCATGATTGAGACAATCATCTATGGTACTTTCATTTCAAGTCGGAATTACATGTCTATAACCTTGAAAAAATTGTCATGAAGATTCTTGTTTGGACACATTTCGAATGTTTGTTTCTCTCTTCGTTTCTAAAAGTTAATTTTTCATACAATTCAAATTATTTTGTAAGTATTGGTAATAACTAACGAGACCGAGAACAGAAATTCAAAGTCAGGATAGTATCAAAAGATGACCTTCTACCTAATTTAACTAACCCGGTAAAGTTTTCTTGTGTAATAACAGCAGCTTCCTTGCTAAATATACAAGTTTTAGAGCAACCTTTGAAGTCGATTCGTGGAGTTTCGGAAATCTAGCATTTTTCACATTGCTGAAGAGATTTTCAAAGTGTTTTCAAGATATGATTTTGTTGACTGGTTGTTGTGGCTGGTTCTTTTCACTGGTAACTTCTCTCATGAACTTTTGCGACATTTTACTTCCTTCAGCTGGTAACACTGCAAAAAATAGCAAAAAATAAAAGGAGTAATAAGTATACCAGCAGAAGGAAGGAAAATGTTCACTGTTTCAACAAATATTAGAAATATTATGTCATGGAAACACAACAAAACAATACTTAGTGTTTCTGTTGTAAATCTAAAATATTATTGGTTAGTGCACTAGGTACTCTGGTATTTTGGATTCGTGTTCTATGCTTGAAGATACACTGAGTACACACATAGATTAAAAACGGTTTATTTTATGGAACACACGAAAATAATCTTGTTATTCGAAACCTGCCTGGAACCATGGTGGAAATCATAATATAGTGTGCTACTCATCTATCTTGAATTGAGCTCATTTCTACCTTGAACGAGAGAGAGAGAGAGGAAAGATCTCTCTTCCATCTTTCTCTTCAATGCTACCAACTTGGCCGCACTGAAATATAGAGAGGTCCTTATAAATCAGTTGACATGCAATCTGACTAATCAAATTCTTTGGAAAAAATACATAATAACTGATTCAGGTTCAGTTATAGTGAGACATTTCAGTTAGTTCAGATTTCAAATTTTCCAAATGAAATTATAAATTATATCATACTAATTTTGACATATTTTGTTAATATCATTAATTTGTGTCTCTGTTGAGTTCAAAAATAGTTCAGTGGCACCAACTAGATGTTAGACAAGGAAAGATTTATCGGACCTCTCCATATTCCAATGTGGCCACGTTGGTAGCATTGAAGAGAAAGATGGAAGAGGAGAGAACATATCTCTCTCTCGTTCAAGGTAGATAAGAGCTCAAGTCAATATAGATGAGTAGCACACCATATTATGATTTCCACCATGGTTAGAGGCAGGTTTCGAGGTTAAGATTATTTTCGTGTGTTCCATAGATTAAACAGTTTTTAATCTATGTGTGTACTCAGGGTATCTTCAAGCATAGAACACGAATCCAAAGTACCAAAATAATGCCTCTGACTAAACAATTTTTGCCCGTCATTGCAACAATGAATTCATTCGCGAAAGAATGAAACACCCTGTTTAATGTTTCTCCTCAAAAATAATCATGACCAGCCGAGTGACCAGCACATGGCAAACAACTAAAATGATGTCCAAACAAGCAGTGAACAAGTTATTATAGGTGTTCTTATTTGATTGTGTCTAATTTCTATATTCCTACATCTTATTATTTTTTTTCACTGGGATATGTTGGAATAAATAAGATCAGATGCAAATTTCAAGATACGAATTCTTGAATATCTGGCAATTATTTTCAACACTGGCAAATCTTTTCTGTATTTTTTCACATTTTCAACCAAAAATTGTGGAGGGTTCAACAGAATTGTTGTTGGCATAGTATGACCATTGTTTTTGGAATCCTCATTGATATTTTCTCTTTTGAACCAACTGTGATTTGACACAGGCGAACCTTGGATGATGCACCCTGTATATATTGGTAACTATAAATTGGAAGGTAAATTATTTTTTAGTCATTGGAATTTTACATTTCCTAATCGATCAAGTCAAGTTTTATTGAATTTTTTTATGTATCAATCTTTTATGGATGCTAATGAGTTTTTGAAGAATTGTTGGGATTGTGTCTTTTTAAAAATAGTCAGAATCACAATTTATTTATAATCAATACTTTGGATCATATCATTGATCATTTCCTATTGAATTGAAGTAAAATATATACATTATTTATTCAATTTTTTATTGCTACTTTTATCCATAAATACAAAAAATGTGATATATCAGTGACACGTCCTTTTGTTTAATTTTTCTCAGGAATTTTTCTGTTCTCAAATATTAAGTTCATGAGTATTTCATTTATTTCACATTCAACTCCATATAGGTATTTGTTTAATTCTACTAGAAACCAAGGAACAAACCACATAGTACATAGTATCTAATTAAAAAAAATTCAACCTCTAATGATGAAACTATGATAATGATTGGTACAGTGAGAAATCATTTTGACTTCCCAATAATTGTTCATTTTATTATTATGGTTGATTTAGAATAATATTGAAAATAACACAAACAATCATGAAAATATGCAACAGTATTTGTTGAGAAACCCCTTATGAAAATGATGCATAGAATAAAACCTGAGTTCATTATTGTGAATCGAAAGGTTGCCTACTTTTGAAATCTCAACATGGGTCGAAGATTTGAAAAATTGATATTACTTACCATTAGCTTAAAATATTTTTGTGAAGATATCTATTTGTCAGAGTTTTTATCGTCTTGTATAAAAAATACACTGGATGGTTGATCATTGCTTGAACAGTTTTTCACTCCATGAAAAATATTGAAAATAGTAGGAAGCAACAAATTATTCAACACATAATATTTCTAATGAAATATTATCTTCACAAAACTATGGATTTCATGATAATTTACCAATAATGAATTTTTGAATATAAAGGCCTAAAGATATTGTAAGTAAAATTTCAACGACCAAATTTAGACAATATCCTCATTTTTATTGTCCCTTTCTTTCTTCACTGGATAGAATCGGTGGTGTACAGTTTTCTATGAGTTTTGGTGTTAATGAAAAACGGACCCGATGATAATAATGATTTTTTTATGCGTAGCAAAGTAAAACATATTTAAAACGCATAGTGACCAATTCTGAACAGCAAAAAGAAGAAAAATGTGTAAATGTTATATTTTTCGGTCAGTTGATTGTTTCTTAGTATATGAACAGTGTTGAACTTTTGAAATAACCACGTATTTGTATAATTGTGAAGACTGAAACTAGTTTTTATTGTGTTATATATGAAGTATTATCCTTATAGAATACGAGTCCTGGCGTTTTTAGTCCCATTTTTTCAGTGAATCCTCACCGTGCAAGTACTTAGTTTTGTGTTTGGTTGTGACTTTATACAGGTTTCAATAATTACATCATAAGTAAGTGTGGTGTTCCTATAAAATGTTCTTGCAGTTGTGCGATAAAAGACAAGATATTGTGATATAATTAAAATTTAGAATGACCTATGCAATTTGACACCAACTGCAAAAGACTTGAGTGTTCAGAAATATGTTACACCACTTTGGCTATTTTCATAGATACAAAAATTTAGTGAAGAATTAGGTGTTGCAATTACCTTAGGACAATCCTAGGGATCCTCACAATATTCAGTGCTTTCTTTACATTATTATACTAAAAAATTCCCTTAATTAATGTCTGAATTTTATTGATTTGATTTTGAGAGAAAAAATTCCCAATTCGAAAAGTTTTGTATCTCTGAAAATAATGCAGGTGGTGTGTGATGTGGAAGCAAGCCTACTTGAAATTTATACAGGGTGTCCGCTAAAAGGAGGTCAATCCATTAACCATATATTCCTTAAACAAAAACAATATGAGTTTCTAAATTCCATTTTTCATTTAAGCTTTCCATATTCGATATACAGGGTGTCAAAGTCGGAAATTGAAAACTGTTTTTATTTAATTACTCGCGTATTTAATATGGTAGCAATCTCAAAATTGGTACATTACTTCAGCACAAAGAGTTACATCGTGTGAGGAAAACTAAACAGAAAATAACTGTCAAATATTCAAAATACTGGGGGTCAAGTACACAGTTACCCCCATATTTTTTTTTGTACGTGCGCTAATCACTTCCTATTTTTTTTTTTCAAGTGTTCAATCATTTTTGAGTATTTTTTGTTTCTTGTAAAATTTCGATAAAATCATTCGTTTTTAAGATAATTCGAAAAGTACTGGTTATTGTTTGATGCCTATGCGGCTTACGGTACATACATACGGTACATACTCCTATTTATTTCGTCGAAATTGGAAGAGGGCGTAACTTTTTACGTACGAAAAGGTAAATATGGAAATACCGGGTGCTCAGGGCGAAATAAAATCGAAAAAAAAAATTCGGTAGGTGAAATTATGATATACATGATTTTAATATCAACTTGATGAAAGAGATAGCAGATCAGGATTGTCTGGAGATGAATGAAAGATTTTGTGTTTAAGCCACATATTTTCAAAGGCTAAGATTTTCTTTAATTAAAAGGGCTCGCACGTGTAATAAAAAAATCGGGGGACATATCGAGCAATTCGTTTAGACGTGTTGAATTTCTGCCATTTTTTTTTTTTAATTATTTTAATACATTCGCTCTGAGCACCCGTTATGTCCATATTTATCTTTTCGTACGTGAAAAGTTACGCCCTCTTAAAATTTCGACGAAATAAATAGGAGTATGCGAACAATAACTAGTACTTTTCGAATTATCTTAAAAACAAATGATTTTATCCAAATTTTACAGGAGACAAAAAATACTCAAAAATGATCGAACATTCGAAGGAAAATAGATAGGAAGTCATTAGCGCACGTACAAAAAAATATGGGGGTAAGTGTGTACTTGACCCCCAGTATTTTGAATATTTGACAGTTATTTTTTGTTTTGTTTTCCTCACACGATGTAACTCTCTGTGCTGAAGTGATGTACCGATTTTGAAATTGATATCTTCTCAAATACGCGAGTAATTAAAGAAGAACAGTTTTTGATTTCCAACTTTAACACCCTGTATATCGAATATGGAGGGCTAAAATGAGAAACGGTATTTGGAAACTCATATTGTTTTTGTTCAAGGAATATATGGTTGATGGATTGACCTCCTTTTAACGGACACCCTGTATATGGAATCCACCATAAAGCCCTCCAATTCCTTTTTTTAAATTATGTTTGTTATATATGCGTCAACTTTATTTTTTGATATTTTACTCATCAATATTATATTTTTGTTTGATACTTCCTATCAAATACATACAAAATCAGTAATAAAAATGAGAGATTATCTTTTATTTTTGTTCCTATTCAGTAATGTTGCTCACATATAAATCCTATTCCTTTTCCCATGAAATTTTAAATGATAAATACCAACCATCTCCCGTTCTGAACTTTTATCATTCATAAAACTGATTTTATGATATAATGTTCACCATAATTTTGCATTCCTATTCAGAGCAATATTTCCAATAATTCAATGCAGTATTCCCAATAAAAATGAATGATTATACTCTTAGACTTAGTTATCAAAGCATTTATTTAAGTGCAATAAAATCAGACTATTAATTTGTCCAACAAACTTCAAATCTCCAATTTGAGATTATTTTTTATGTTGTCTAGTGAGTTTGATAAATGTTGATAATGATACAAATAAAATAAGCAATAATGTTCTTATAATAACAGTATGATCCACAGTATTTCACTTTATTTATTTATTTATTCATCATCAGGTTGCTCGATACCAAATACAGTGTGTCCCATTTCAACTGTAACTTTCCTCGTATCTTGGATAGAATGACAATTCGCATAATTTTTTAAAAAAATTCCATAGTGTAATACTCAAAAGACCTATCTATGATTCATGTTCTGAATTGAATCACAAAAATGAAACTATACTTATCATTATCCTGTTTATGAAACTGATATTTTAGTTGCTCATATCTTGAATATGCTTTTGTAAATAACACATACAGGTTGAGCCAATTTAGACGGTTTTGCATAGGTATTGAAGAAAGTCCAATTTTCAAATTAAATGGAAGGAAGCTCATGCAAGGAATTTTCATGGCATCCTCAATGGTGAAAACTGCACATTGATATCTTGTTTTGTTTCAATGTTACAAGGTTGTAGTTTTTTGAAAATTTGCATTTTTTTAAAGTGGCTGAAACTAAATAATATGGCAAAAATTCTTCCTTTTCATGAAAATATTTTCAAATCATTTAATTTGTTAATGAAGTTGGTCCTGTACTGTACATAGTACTGGGTGACACAAACTCATGGTGTGCACCGTTTTCCCCTATTTCTGAAATTTGGAACATCGAATATGCTCACTAGAGGACACTTTCTCACATTTTAGGATTTTTTTTTCATCTCTCGTTTTCCCTGGAAATTACAATCTGCAAATGAACCACCAAGTTTTATATTCAATAATCGGTTAGGAATAATTATAACAAATTCAACAATACAGGGTTTGATTGGGTTATTTCAAACGATAAGGAAGATATTCTCGTTTGAAGTTTGCATAAACTTAATGGGTGTGACGGCGCAATATCGAAACTTATTTCTCTGTCACAATCATTGAGCTTATGGAAACTTCGAACGCGAATATCTTCGTAATCCTTCGAAATAACCCAATCAAACCCTGTATTCTTGAATTTGTTATAATAATCCCTAACCGATTATGGAATAAAATCGAAAGTTGATGTAATTTCCAGGAAAACCGAAAGATGAAAAAAAATTCCTCAAATGTGAGAAAGTGATTATATTCAATGTTTCAAATTTCAGAAATAAAGCTAAAAAAACAAAGGAGAAATAGGGGTTATACCATGAGGCAGTGTCGCCCGTTATGTTATAGTCTGAAATAGAAATTCTTCAAAATATGAGGTTAAATTCAAGAAGATTGATTTCAGTGTCTGAGGATGATTTTTTCAGACAAACTCTGAAGAAGTTTTGTATGAATTCAACCACTTACAAAAATTCATTACACTAGAAACACCTTGTTACTCTGAAACAAAGTGAGATCTATTGAATTTGGTGCAAATATTTGGCCCACTCTGTACATGATATCTGGATCAATCTCCGTATACGGATATTTGACACATGAGCAAATAGAATATACAATCAGTAATAAAGATATGCAGTTTCCCGATATTTGTGATGTAATGATAAGTAAAACTTGATTTATGTACTATCTGATAGATTTTCTTGTGAAGAACAGAATCAAAAGTTATTTGATTCTTTCCTTCTGCTCCAAAATACTAAGTTGGTTGCTCTTGGGACACACTGTATCACCTTTTTGGGTAGCTGACTGATAAGCTTGTATCATTTTATGATAATGATAATCAACTGTTAACTTATTATTTTAATATTTAGCTTCTTGGTGCCAATTTAGCAATTACTATGATCAATTAGAACAATTTTGCCATCTATTTTTCTTGCCATTTGTATTTCACTATTGAAACTTGTTTTGCGTTGATTTATTTTGATGTGCTACGAATTGATAAAAACTAGTTTCAATTTGATGTCCACGTAGATTTGTTCTTGATTTTCGAAAAACCCAAAATTCTTCGATCTCTTCGTGTTTAATTGCTGTTCTAGAACAAGAGACGAATTTTGGATTCTTCAAGACAATTCAAATGTATCTACGGAACAAATGATTGTGTATATTTGTTTCTTTCGCTAAAAACGCCAGTGAATGATTTGTGTCTAGAGAAGTAGTTTTAAATAATATAATCAGATGTAATAAGTTTACTTGCAAGCCATAGTGATAAATATTAACCCATGACAAAATCTCCGCTAGCAATGGTTTATCGTAACTTTTCAAAATAAATATTGTATATACATAGACCAGTGATTTGGCTGAATCCTACTCAACAGTTGATCTCGACAAAATAATCAACAATAATTATTGAATCTCACTATATTTTTTTTGGTATTGAACTGGTCTGGATATTTTTCACTTGTCCTGTTTGTAGCTCGTCCATGACCAATTTCCTTCTGAATCTATTCTAAATGGTGATTTTTGATATCCAACACTCAGTTCCACCTGTTACATTGGGAATATCAGAAATACTGAGGGGTTTTGACAAATGGGTAGCTGTGTGTAAGAGAACCCGTTTTAGATTTTTTTATTAACCTTTTCCCGAACAATCAAACATATTGTTCGCTGATGATAAAGAACAATATAACAATTATAATTGTATACCGAGTAATTCAAATTCTGAGGCCACCATTGATCCCGGAAACTATAGGAGATACGAAGATGGTTAAGTTAGAACGAAGTTGCGCATTTATGTGACTAAAAATATGCAGTCGAGAAAATTTTTAAATTCCGAGTATTTCCGGAGATAGGTATACGAAAATAACAGAAATCTAGTGATATTTGTTGTATATCAAAATTGATAGCACATTTACATTGCCTATACGAGACTCAGACTCACTGTCCGACGTTTCTTCTTTACGTTACCAACATCAACTTTATTTTTACATATTATGGTCGCCATATTGAATTTTCGCGGTTTTCAAGGTCATCATCTGACGTTGCGATGACGTTGAAACTGGGTGAAAACAAGTCTAATTTTCAATCTATGCCATGAGCCAATGTTTTCTCTCAGTTTTAACGTCATCGCCAGGTCATATAATGAATTTGAAATCCGCTAAAAATGTTTACCAAAATTTCTGTTTTTTTTTTCGTGTATTCCTGGAAATTATCAGAATTTGAGAGTTTTATTGACGGCATATTTTTAATCACATAAATGCACATTTTTGCCCCAATTCAACCATCTTCGTATCTCCGAGATCTCAATGGTGTCGAATACAGAGTGATTCAAGCGAGCCACTCTTATACTTTTTTTTTGATGAAGCGTTTTTTACTTTTTTTAAATGCAGAGAGGAAAGAGTGTATTCTAGATCATTCAGACGCTGAAAAATCCAGAATCCATATTAGCGAATTTTGTAAAAAAAATTCTAAAATAAGTCCAGATCAAATTTCATGAAAAAATATTCAACATTAACGAATCTACAGTGTGTATCTTTTAAAACGACCCTCTATAATATTATCTTAAAATGAAGAGGGGACAATTTTTTATGAAATATTAGGATTTTTTTTACAGGAAAACTAACCTCATAAAATCGTTCTTCGTGGTTCCAAATCCCCATGTGACCATTTTCATATGATTATTATGAAGGGGTTGAAAAAAATGACACAAAATAGTATTTTTTGTTTTTTTTTCAAAATCACGTTTCCCTACCTACCGGAGCTAACGTTCCGAAATTTTCAGTTTATTTGAATCCACTATTTCTTCGTGGATAAAGATGAAAAAAGAATGGATCCAATTCTGTTAATATGGAATAAAGTGTTTTGTAGAAAGCATTAGAAACAATATTATGAAGCGAGTTTTCTTGCAAAAAAATCCCTGTTTATTTCAATAAAAAAGTACGGCACTGTCCAACAGTATGTTCGTCTCTGAAAAACTGATCATATCGATGGCTATACATACCGGTCCCAATTTGGTAAAGATTGAACGACTAATATAGCTGAGAAATTGAGGGGGGGGGCGTTTGAAAAGAAACACGCTGTAGATTCGTTAATGTTGAATATTTTTCTCAGAAACTTGGTACAGATCTATTTCAGAGGACCTCGATTCCAGTGGGGTACGCTGATTTAAAAAAAAATCGCTAAAATGAAATCTTGATTTTTCAGCATCTGAAATGTGATCTAGTAGGCCTTGGTTAAAATAAAAGAGCTCCGCTTGCCTCAAAATACACCTCTACATAAAAAAAATAGTGAAAATTGCTCCATAAATAAAGAAAATAATTATGAAGGTGGCTCGCTTCCAAATGGATCACTCTGTATACGTGAATAACAAGAACGAGACAAAACTCAAAGAATAATGCATGTCCTCAACACCAATTTTATACCGGGTGTCCCAGAGATGTGCTCTTATTGCCCTTACTTGATGTTTCATTTCAATAGATAAGAGTAAAATTGAATGTACTGACCACCGCTTGACTTTTTTTAATTCGCTCTATTTGCTGTTATTGAAGGAATTATCATTATCAATGATGGAGAGTTGAAGGATAGGAAAGCATTGACGAATAACTCTTCCATGTACCTAATGAGTGCGACAGAGAGGATGTCAATGATACTGTCTCCTATCCTGTCCCACTCATTGGGCATATGAAGAATTACTATCGTACTCCTTGATGCATTAGAAATATACTGAATATGAAAATTGTATACTGATGGTTGTCCTGTTGAAAATTTGAAAAGGTATATCAGGGCCACCTGTCTGGTACATCTCTGGATGGTGAATCACTTTTCATACTGGATCGGTTATTTTCGAGCTACAATAACATGAACATTTTGTGATTTTGTTTTTTCTACGTCAAATTCATTTTAATATTAATTTATTGAATTTTTAACCCTACCGAAATTTCTATTTATATTGGATATTTTCGAAACAAAATTTTGTTGAATAGATGAACACATTGTATGTATTGAGAATTGTAAAATGCACTCTATATATACATATAATTATATAAATATACATACATGCCATTTTCATTAGAGGTTTTATTTTGTGTTCGATTTTCTTTGGTTGGATGAATTTTTTTTGTAGCAGCACCGGGACCCTGCTTGTAGTAATTGTTAATGTTAAACAGTAATGATTGTGTACCACCCACGAAATTGTTCAATGTTCTCATTATTTTTTTAAATATATTACTTTAAGCAATGTTGGAAGTATATTAAATTGATTCCCTTTCATAAATTAGATAGTACATAACAATTAGAATCACATATTGAAGGCAATTTATTATCAAGAATGTATGATATGGACTGAATTATTGTTTTATTATCACTTGTTGAAGTGTGAACTTGATTACATGGTAATGAGTTTTTATCAAAAACAACAAATTAATAATGTGTTTATTTCTTCTGAAAATATTGTTGATATTTGATATTTATTGACAAACAACTGATAATCCATGAATAAATCAAAATATAATTCTATCTATATGAGTTCTCAAACTATGAATGGAAATGATTAAATTTATTTTCAGAAGTGAAAATCATTATTGAGAAATGAGATGAAAATATACCGGGTGGCCCACTCAAGACAATCCACTCTGGATAACACTTGGAGATATTATTGAATAAAATAATAAATAATGCTGAAACTCGTCAAATTCTAATTTGTAGGGGAAAGTTCTTCTTCCCCCTCCCCTAGAGATTCACGAGCCTTGAATTTGAAATGGAATGGGAATTAAGCACGATGCGAAAACAAAACAGTAATATTATCGGGATGAAAATACATTTCGATCGAATGGGGTATCAGTCGACCGATATGACATCATTTGAAATTATTCTCATCGAAACGAAAGGGTGCGCATGTAAGGCAAGGAGGGGGAAGAAGAGACAGATGACGAATTAATCTTAAAAAACGTCCCCCTTCAAATGAAATTCGACTTAATCTTTGGAAGAAGTCCATGGTAACTCAAAGTGGAGTGGTGTAGTTCATAGATGAAAACCCAAAGTCATCTCCACAACTTTTATTTAATTTATTATTATTACATTTTCTTGGCTGATGATGGGCTTATATAAGCCCGAAACATGTTCCTTATATGATCTATGATCATTAAATAAAAGTTGTGGAGATGACTTTGGGTTTTCATCTAGGAAATTCGACTTGTTTCAGCATTTTTCATTTGAGCGTTTGTTCAAAGAGCCATCCAGAGTGGATCATCTTGAGTGGGTCACCCGGTATATACAGGTGTATGTCTGAAAATGTTGGCAAACAAATGGAAAACATTTTTGATATTGATTTGCGGAAATTGAATACGTCTTTCTTAATCAAATGTTCTGCAAGGCCTAAAACCATAAACAATAGCACATATATAAACCTATATTTCTCTGTCGTATACAATAATGAAGGTAGAAACTATAAATTCTACTCATGAAAGTACCATTGTTTTTTATTGTTGTTGGCTACATATAACAATGAAAAATACGATAAAATCATGTTTAATTTTACGAAGAAAAGTCATTCTTCATTCTGCAAAGTCTGAAAACCGAGAATGCAAATATCAGATATCAATTCAGTCATTTGTCAAGAAATATTTTTTCTTAATTTGAGTCATGAAAAAGTGTTCCGTTTGTTGTCAACTTTTTCCGATATACTGTATCACAAATTCACAAAACCCTAATTTGAAATTTCAAAGTAGTGCGCCATTGCCCAATCGGCCCTGAGTCATTGATGTTCAGTCAGTCTTCTTCTTCTCTCCTTTAGAGAACTTTGACTTTATCAGCATTTGACCTACTTCTGCGCTGTTTTTTCTCTGTCTACTAGTGATATTCTTTCATTCTGAACTAACTGACACATTTCATTTGAACTGAACTGAATCAGTTGACATGCATTTTACACAATGAACGTCATTCGAAAGAACGATTCAGTTCAGTTCAAGTGAAATATTTCAGTTAGTTCAGATTGGAAGAATATTACTACTGTCATCTGTTAGTTGGTAACAGAGTTCATTGGTTGGTAAGGTGTCAGCTGAGCACGTGTCAGTACTGTCAGTAGTGTCAGTGTCATTGATGTGATAATATATATATGTGAAAAAAAAATTATATAAAAAATATATTTTTCCTTCATTTGGTCTCAATATGAATATGGTCTCAATCTCTTGATTTTGAGAATGAAAGGATGTGATATTGGATCTTTGGTGTGAAAGCGAAGAAATTAAATATAAAATGGAGCCTGAGAAAGACCAGAGATGAACAGTAACCTAGAAATGTAATAACCAGGAACACAAACACATCCCACAAAGATTGAATTCAACAAAATATCGACCACAAAGACACAAATCTTTGGGACCAGGAACGACCTAAGCATTGGAGAAATGAACAGTACTCAAAACCATGGTACTCAGCACCGAATGGTCTCAAGTTGAAGTGATTGATCTTCTGAATGATGGTTCTGGTCTCGGCTTCGGAATTGTCGGGGGCCGCAGCACTGGGGTCGTGATAAAATCCATTCTTCCTGGTGGCATCGCTGACAAAGATAACCGCTTGCAAAGCGGAGATCATATCCTGCAAATTGGAGAAGTCAATCTAAGAGGATTAACTGCAGAGCAGGTGGCTACTGTACTTAGACAGACTGGACAGCAGGTGGTTACCATTTTTATAAACTTCACCAATATGTCAATATGTAAGAACACAGTTTGTTGCACCTATGTGTTTAGTAAACTTTTAGTAGTTCCTTTAAAAAATATGCTTGTCTGTTTTAGTTTTTCTTTCATTCTGATGAAGTCTTGTTCTTGTTACTCTCCTTAACTATAAACAGATCTTCATTTCATTCATTAGTTTTGTAATGAAGTGGAATTATATGTGATAAATTATTCCAGCTATTCATTAGATCTCCAATTGGCTGCTTTGATTTTAGGTGAGAATGGTAGTAGCAAGATCTATAGATCCTAGTTCAGCTGACTTCAGTGTATATAACTGCTCAGCACCAATTGTACCAACAAAGATACTCACTGATCCTGAAGAGTTAGATAGACAACTGCAGAATGGCTATCACTCTTCTTTTTATCAATATGCTGAAGCTTTAGAAGTGTTCAAAAATGATTTGATCCAAAACCAAGTAGAAAATTGCATCAATGATCTTAATTGTGAAAATGCATTGACTGTTGATGAGAATAAAGAAAACATTACACCAAATGGGTTGTCTACAAATGAGCCTACACAGATAATCCTGGCACAAATTGATATTGATCATAATTGTGTGGAATCAGAAACTGAGAAGTTTACTGTTGATCTAAGAAAGGATGAATTAGGATTGGGTAAGTTACTGTGTTCAGAGCATTGTGTAAAGTAACATGTTATCTCAACCTTCTCACTTTATTTTAGGAATTACTATAGCAGGCTATGTTTGTGAAAGAGAATCCTTGTGTGGTATTTTTGTAAAAAGTCTAAATGAAAATTCAGAAGCCTACAAATGTGGTAAAATAAAGATCAATGATCGCATTGTAGAAGTGGATGGACAATCCCTGGAAAATTGTACCAACTATGAAGCTGTGAAAAAACTCAAAGAAACCAGTTCTGAAGTTACCATTACATTTGAGAGATATCTGAGTGGCCCTAAATTTGAGCAACTGCAAGAAGCTCTTGCTGATAGGGAACATAACTTGGATATCAGTCCAGTTTCTCCTTCTTTGACAACTTTAAGTTGGATTCCTCTAGATAATACAGAGGTACAAACATATATAAGCACTTTTACAGTAATTATATGATATCTTGATAAATTTCAGCAACCAATTGATGGTGATAGAGCTTCTCTGCAGAGTGTCAATAGTGCCATATATGACCAGAACCCTGAAACTAAAGAGATATTCATTGAAGAAAACTTTGAAGCTGACCTAGCTGGTGATCTAGAAACAGCTATCAAGAAAAAGTGGCAGGGTATTGTTGGAAAGGGGGCAGATATTGTAGTAGTACATTTGACTAAACTGAAAGGTAATACATACAAATCTATAGTGGACCTTGTGTACTTGAAAAACTCCCTGGGTTCCACTAGAACTAGATGGGTTGTTTTTGAGTTATTTAACATTATAATGAAGGAGATCCTGTAGGTATTATGTAAACAATTAAATATGGTTGTATCAATCAATCAATTTATTAATCCTTTGGAACTTACAAGAGTTATAGGACAAGTCAACAAAGCAGCACACTAAATAAGTATTACACAAATAATAGTGATAATGATAATATTAAGATCCTAATTAACAGTAATATAGATATTGACAAATAAATCAAATGGACAATGACATATGACATATGTAGGCAAATAATTTAAGAATAAAACACACAGATATTGAAGTAAATTTGAAATTTTGAAATTAAAATCAATATATATTAACCAAGTGCTCCTTCAAATTCTTGTATAGAGTAAGGACAAAGATCCATGAGGAGTTTGGACAATGCACATTTGAATTTGCAATCAGGTGTGATAGTTTTCAAGTTTTGTGGTAGATAATTGTATCCACATCATGTCCTCAGATAACTTTATTTTTTCCTCCTTGGAACAATCCAACAAATATATGCCATGAATTGTTCCATGCCTCATGCAAATTAATGCAACTTTTATATATGTGTATGACATTTTTACTCTGAGCTTCTTAGGGATTTAGTAAACTTTATTGAGTATACAGATGATTTTTTTTTAGTTTCTTATGAGATTGTGTATTTTCATCCTACAATTCTGTAATGTATTGATCTTCCATAGACCTTCTTTCATATTTTTCAACATTCAATTAACTGAATTAAGAATGAAAATAAAAATAATTTTCAGGTCTAGGAATTAGTTTGGAAGGTACTGTTGATGTAGAAGGAGGTATAGAACTTAGGCCTCATCACTACATACGTTCAATCCTACCTGAAGGACCAGTGGGACAAAATGGAGTCTTAAACCCAGGAGATGAACTATTAGAGGTGAATCATTTTTAGCTGAAAATGTTCAAATGATAAAAATACTTGATTCATATCAAGCTTCAAACACCAAAATTGTGATTTCTATTAAAAATTCAAGACCATCCAAAATCTGAGTTTGGGCCTGTTTCAGTGAAAAATTTCATTATTTCAAAGTACTAATTCTAACTAGTTCACTGTTGCAAACCGTTTTTTCCCCAGAGCTCTGTACATTTTTTAAATAGTTATATGAAATACACGGGAAATCGCGTTATGTAATCCTCCGAACGTATCTATTATTCTTGTCTGTAAGACAAGTGCACGAATATTTCTGATTGTCATTTCAATCAAAATATGAAAAATAGTTTGCCTCCTCAGAAGGTGCTCGCCCTAGACTTTAGTGCATTATCTGGACTGAATACTTGCTGCATAAGTTAAACACACAACTGAAGAGTCAGATAATGAGAGGAGTATCTTTGAATATTTGCATCTTGGCTAGATGAAACAAAGATTTGAAGATGAAGATGATGTTAGGAAGTTAGGTTCACAATGTAGTTCATCTTCCCTTCTTGTATTTCTGGGAACTCTAGGCATAATGCTGTAGTTTAAATTAAATCTCCATCATTATTAGGAATACTAGGATATTTTTATTGGTACCCATGCATCTCGCAAGTATATAATTATTTAATTAGTGATTATTAGGGACCAGGTTAAACTAGTATCTTCTGTGAATGTGAATACTGTTGTCATTGGTCATATTGAACCTCATAAGGTAATTACTAGTTACAAATCTGGCAGCGTTGAAATATGTGGTCTTACTTTTTATGTGAAATCCAGAAATAAGGCCGACATTCAATTTGGTTCATGACGTCATCGAAACTAGCTATTTCCAGGGTGCCGAATTTCATTATTGAGAAAAAAATGTATTTGCAATGATTTTAAATAATGATCAATAAGAAATAGTTTTTTTGCGTAAATTCTACCCCATTCAATGAACAATAAAATTATCCTGGTATCAGGTATTATGTGAAATATATTTCGGGTTGTTGTGAGCTGAATCATAAGCATATCATATTATTTTCCAGGTTAATGGGCAAAAGTTGATGGGAATCAAACATGTCGAGGTAGTAAAAATCCTGAGAGAATTACCCAGCACCGTTCGATTGGTTTGTTACCGTGAAAATCAATGTAATAGAGTGATAAATACATCACAGGACAGGGAGGCTTTTGAGGCTCGCAATATATTGGGAGGCAGCTTGAAAAACCTCTTGCCACAGCCAGAACAAAAGCTGATCAAGGCTTTGAGTGATACTAGTCTGAATACATCTAGTACTGTTACAGGTAATGTCATATTTTAAATTTTCATATTTTTTGGTAAATTTGGCTATGTCGCAGTTTTATCAGTAGAATACCAAATGTTTCTTATTCAGATTTTGAAATGTATGTGAAATAATCATTATAAAATTCATGAGGGCTGCAATAACCCTTCTGTCAATAGTTTCTGAAGGATTCTATTGTTTTCAATTAGTTCAATGCTTTCAGTAGATGGTTATTTGGTATACATTTATCTGAATTATTTGTTGCTCTCTTGTGCTGGATGAATAGGAGTCATCAAATATTTCTAGCACATTAACCCCAAAATAAAAATACCATAACTAATATTATTCCCATAAAATACTTGAAATGTATTTACTTTTGCCTCATTTATTCAAATTTGCAATATTTAATTTCTATTTGGGGGAGTACAAATATTTCACGTCTGAAACCACTAATGAAATTACAAAACAAATCAATTAAGTGCATTTTTCATCTACATTTTCTAGAACCAACGATAAATTTATACAAACCAAGACATTTTCTGAACCTGATTTCGTTATTATAAACTTAAAATATGTTGCTTTATTCATTTTGCCAGGAATAAGTTGAAAATATCAAATTTAGCTTTTAATGAAGTCAATACAGTCCATAATTATGGGACTAGACAATTGAATTACTTGATAGCAAATACATTCAAGTCAAACATTGGCAAACAATCTGTTTTTCACAATGGAATAATTTTATACTACCGAATGAGTTGAAAAATATACATGATGCAAGAAGGTTTAAAATCAATCTTAAAAAATACTTGCTCAGGACAATTTGAAAGAAAAATATGTGGCATGATTTGATTACTTAGGAATGAAATATAACTTTAATCTTATATGACACAATATTAATTCGTTTCCACTGAGTGGAATTCATTATAGTTAACCCTTTATTATTATTTTTTTATATGTATTTATGTATCCCTATCATAAACAGAAATGTTTCTTGGGGTAATAAAGACAATCAATCAATCAATCAATATGTGATCCATCAAAGAATGATAAAAAGCAAACAGCCTGATGCTAATGTTTGATTCATTATCAAAATGTGCTACTCAATGAACTTTTTGAATGTTATGACTTTTCAAGGTGAGATTTGTGTGAGTAAATTCAAGTTGATTAGTTTGTTCTTTGGCGTTGAACAGGGGAGAGAGTAACGCCAAATTTCGATCTGCTTGAGATTGTGATGCACTGTTTCTTCCAAAGTTACTTACTCTGATTCTGCAAAGTAGTTGAATCATTTATATTAAAGAGAAAAATAATTGGACCAAGCAAAGATGCTTTTGGGACTTCACAATTTGAGATATTGAGTCATTACTGCTGCAACTGTTTCACGTATATAAACATGAAAGTATAGAAACAAATTCCGGGTGGAGAATGAATGGTACTTGCTCCTGTTGGAACATACAGGACATTGTCAGGAAGATTTCCCAAACATTCAATACTGTCACGCCTTGAGGAAATTTGCCAGATTATTTCAGACATAAGGTTTGCCATACTCACCTTTGTGAGAGAAAATCTCAACAGAGGCAATCACGACCAGCAAATCAAGATATGCACATTCAGCCAAGCGGCGATCAAGGCCCTCACATTTCACAGATTTAGTTTGCTGCTGGTGTCTGAATGCAATGATGATCTGAGAAAACTATTCATCCCCTTCAAGGTTAAGCTATTTCGGGTGCCCGGACATACCAGTGTGCCCGAAAAAGGACGGACCGACTATTTGGCCAGACAATTTGCAATAAGGTCAATCAAATCAAATCATGGAGCATCTCAACCATTAAGGAAATCCTGGAAGTTAAATTCCGGAACACATGGAAAGATGCTCATGACATGAAACAATTTAAACTTCACATCAAAGGTTCTTCTACTAAAAGAACCTTCACTCTCGAAATATGCTCCGAAACTCAGCAGCGGTGGGTGCATAACGGGCCAGATTGAGAAGTATACATGCTAATGGTTTCGTCCGCCTACAAAAACTCCAAGTAGACATTAAAGTATTAAAAAGTTGGTGTGACTCAAATCGTCTTGCTCTAAATGTAACAAAAACCAACATAATATCCTTCAGGTGTGAAATAATCAATATTGAACTAGATAATGGCCTCATTGAAAGCTGCAATAAGACTAAATTTTTAGGGGTTTTTATCGATAATAAATTGAAATTTGAACAACATGTTTTGAACTTGAATAAGAAATTGGCCTCTGGTTGTTTCGCTGTGAGAACAGTAACAAAGGAACTTGGACCCTCAGCTGCAAAATTAGTCTACCATGCATTGATAGAGTCTCACCTGAGATACGGTATTCCTTTCTGGGGAGTATGTAATAATAACCTCATGCTAAGTATACTGGTACTGCAAAAACGCTCGATTAGATATATGTCCAAAGTTAAAATGCGTGTTTCCTGTAAACCGCTGTTTGTATCGCATAAATTACTAACTGTTATTGCAATCTTCATCCTTGAATCAGTATATCTCATCAAAAAACACATCCATAAATTTAATACTACTCCTTCCTATTACTCTACCCGTAAGCATAACAGTATAAACTTACCAATACCAAGTTCTTCTCTAGTAAAGGATTCACTCATTTATAATGGATGCAAGATGTTCAATCATTTGCCCGACTATATAAGAGATATCACCCACATTGACCATTTTAAAAAAGCTGTCCATTTGCTATTATCAGATCGGCCTTACTATAGTTTGGAGGAATTTTATTCTGATCAATTCTAATTATATGTACCCTTTGCTAATGTAAGAGTCTTTTTAATGTCTGTTTTATATTTTTAGTTTTTTATTTACACTTTTAACTCTACATATGTGCTTTGTCCATAAGAATGTACCTTTTCTTCATGACAATAAAGTATATTCTCTCTCTCTCTCTCTCTCTCTCCCAATTCATCTAATACCTCTATCGCATGCTTTGTGTTTTTACCAAACTCTCTTTTCAGCAACAGACGAACCCAGCCTCCAAACGGCCAAATCCCGATCTCAAGAGATCACCAACGTGATAACGATTTAAAATAACGTAAATATAGGGCCATTTCGATGGATAACCCAACCTAATTCCAATACATACCTCCTCTCCCTATCCTCCCTAGGTACGAACGATTGTACATTATGGCGGGCGAGGGACTTTGGGACAGTGTTGCCAATAACGGTTCAGTACGTCTTTGTTGTTGAGATGGTTGCGCCAGATTTGTTGTGCTTTTACCGAACCCTCTTTTCAGCAACAGACAAACCCAGCCTCCAAACAGCCAAATCCCGATCTCAAGAGGTCGTCAGCAACGTGATAACGATTCAAAATTACGTAAATATAGGGCCATTTCGATGGATAACCCAACCTAATTCCAATACATACCTCCTCTCCCTATCCTCCCTAGGTACGAACGATTATACATTATGGCGGGCGAGGGACTTTGGGACAGTGTTGCCAATAACGGTTCAGTACGTCTTTGTTGTTGAGATGGTTGCGCCAGATTTGTTGTGCTTTTACCGAACCCTCTTTTCAGCAACAAACAAACCCAACCTCCAAAAGGCAAAATCCCGGTCTCTAGAGGTCACCAACATGATAACTATTTAAAATAACGTAAAGATAGGGCCATTATCTCTGCCCCATATCCTCCCTAGGTTTGGGGCAGTGTTGGCAATAATGGTTCAGCACGTCTTTGTTTTTGAGATGGTTTGTTGTGCTTTCACCAAACCCTCATTTGAGCAACAGACAAACCCAGCCTACAGAAATCCACTGGTGGAACATTTTTTGCACTGTTTTTTCAAATAAATTTGAATATTTACCTCACATATTGCGGATTTCCTGAAATTAATTGTCCATTCTGGACGTTCCATTGCATTCTTCCATCACATTATCTTTAAAGGATCATTCGGAAAATTGAATAACTTGAATCCCTTTTCTAATGAATAATCGCAATAATGTAGGCAGCAGGACATCGAAATAAATTGAAATGCTAAATTTTGGCGGTCATAAAATTTCAGTGACAGTGACAGAAATTCGAAATAATTAAAAAAAGTGTGCGGAACGACTATGGTGTTTCGTCACATTGTCAGGTGGGCAAACCAAATGAAACAAAATATTAAAAACCCCAACGGCTGTCAGTTTTGTGTCCGGACTCTTGTCTAAGGTATATACAGGGACTCTAGGTTGCGCCACAGTTTGTTGTCCTTTCACCCCTCATCTGGGCAACAGATTAACCCAGCTTACAGAAATCCACTGGTGAAACACTTATTGACCCATTTTAACTACAAAAGAGAAAACATGCTCAAATCTGGCTTCTAAAAGATGACCGCAAGAAAAAATGCTAGCCCAGAACACAATATAAATGTTGCGATCATCAAATAACTGTCAATTTGAAAGTGCAGTCAGTCAAATCGTCCATCTTTCTTAATGAAATCGGCGTCATCTGCAAAAGACTCTAGGCTCCGAGGACTGAACACCTTCATCCTCTCCATTTTGTCCGAGGACTTCTTTGGCTGAACTATACTTCGATCGCATGCTTTCACGGGCCCCCGTTTTCAGCAACAGACGAACCCAACCTACAAAAGGCCAAATCCCGGTCTCTAGAAGTCACCAACGTCGCCATGTGGTCGGAGGAGGTCGAGTACGTGGACCTCGTGAAAGGCGACAGGGGCCTCGGCTTCTCCATCCTGGACTACCAGGACCCGCTCGATTCCACGGCCAGCGTGATCGTGGTGCGCAGCCTCGTGCCTCACGGGGCGGCCGAGCAGGACGGCCGATTGACGCCGGGAGACAGGTTGGTATGGAAGCGTGGAAGGCTCACGTTGCTTTTTTTTATCGAATCAAAATGTACTTTTTAACGCCGGCGGGAGTAGAAGTTACTTTCTCTGGTAACAAAAGAGGGGCAGAAGTGGCGTTCCCTAGGGAGATAATGTGACCTATTTTCTCCCTAGGGAGTTCATACCAACTATACATTTTTCCTCGCATTTTCCGCATAGCTCGGCGCTTTCTTTTCGGAACACCCTTCTCTGAAGCGAGTATAAGCTGCATCATACAGATTTATGGATTTCACTGGTAGCAAGTTAAGAATCACTGCAGAAGCAGTATCAGCAATTTCTTGGGGTTCCTCCTCAATTTCTTGTTTCATGATCGTTAACCATTTTCAAAGCTGTTTTTATAAATTTCAGTTTGATATTTGCTGTCACCATAGATCTAAATACACACCTGTCACCATGGGTTGTGTCAATATACAAATTCCACAAACTATACTACAGATATACTACTATACTAATTATTACAAAACACTTTGACCAAATTTTATTTTCTTTCTTAATTTTTGTGTTTTTGCCAGCGTAAAAAATAGTATATACACCTCAGGACAGAATGCTATTTTTCCCTTGGTGCTTTGTATCTCTTCCGCTTCGCCCTCGAGCTACAAATCGCACTATGGAAAAGATCTTTCTGTCCCTTGATGTATAATGTACTATATTGCTTGAAGAAAATGAATTATTATTGACAAAGCGTTAGGTCCCATTCCTTCCATTCCTCCCATTTTCTGAATGAGAATTTGTATTCAGAATTTACTGTACGGTATATTACAGAAACAGAAAGTCTGAATGCGAAATTGGATGAGAAATAGAACATGTCCTATTTTTCATTCATTTTATGTTAAAGCGCTTGCGCATAACGCCGTTAGTTGACCTTCGGATTGTTTGTTTTGAAGTAATATACAGTTTTTTGGGGTTATGGTAATGTCACTTTGTTGGTATTTTTAAAAGGTAATTGATGTTATATAAATTACAAATAATATATGTCCACTGATCAATTTTGCTGTTATCTAAAATTTAGATGACATCAGCTCTATAATGGTTTGGTCTTCAGAGCATAATTATGTTGGTACTTTGATTGAAGAATACCAAAAATATCCCTATTTGTTTGCAATCTCGTTTGCAGTTAACGTCATAACAGCCAGACGCTAGCTTTTTAGATACATTTAATATGCTCTTGAAATTTTAGATTAGCATCAATAATTATACCCAAAAAATTATTCACAGCTTTGATGCTGATACCACCATTTTCGAGAAATACATTGCTAATAGCATGCTTGAAGTTGATTATACCCGTCTCAGTGGCATTCAAAGATGGCGTCGTACCATTTTTTAATTTTGCTCAGGTCCTCATTGATGATGTCTTTTCAAATTGTGTTATCCATGCCATGCCAAAGTATGGTAGTGTCGTCAGCAAATACTGTGAATTGTCCATGGATGTTGACATTTGTTAAGTCATTCACATATAATAAAAATAACAGGGGGCCCAGTACAGAGCCTTGCGGTATTATACGTTTGAGAGCTGAATGCTTAGAGTTCGCATCAGCGATGATGACGCTTTTCAAACGTTCAGTTAGATAAGACTGGAACCAGATCAAAACTACACCTTCAGATAGAAAGTTGTAACTGTATGAAAACGGAGAGTTGTAACTGTCTAAATGGACAGTTGGAACTGCCCAAATTTAATTTGGAACTGTCTAAATAGACAATTGTATCTGTCTAGTGTGAACCAATTGAAAACGGGATACCTCAATAAAATTTGTATTACTTTACCGACTTCGACGAACTTTCTTTCGAATTGTGGAGCTTGAAAAACTTTACTTTAGGGTGAAACATATTTTTTCTACGAAAACCAAGACCTCCATACATATTTAGAGGTTAAAATTCATGTGATTATACAGTGTGTCCCACTTAGCATGCTCACCATGGGTATCTTTTAAACGGTGAGAGATACGAGGTCGGTTAAATGACACCAAATGTGGAGTTTGTCAGGGCCAACTATAATGTGAAAAAATATTTTGATAAAATCTATTCGTTTTTGTTTTATACGCAAAAAACAGATTTTGATCATTTTCATGTCTCCTCCGTAACTTCTTTATTTATGAAAATATTCAAATAGGAATTTCACATTCTCATGGCAGTTTTTCAAAGTGATTTCGAAAAAAATATGAAATTCATACCAACTCTTCTAGAATTTGAGATATCAGCACCAACTTAAGTTTTTCAAATGTAGGTCAAAGCTCACTATGACTTAGTTACAAATAACTTTTTTTCCTCTTACAGATGATATGTCGCAGTAATAGTGTTGTGTTGATAACAACGGAGTTATCGTCATTTATACAAGAACAAAAAATTATTTGGAAGCCGCCATCTCGAATTTATAAATTTTAACAAAAATATCATGATCTCCGACCTCAAAAACCCCCACTTACCAATTTTGAATGGAATCGGACCAAATCTTGTCCGCCATCTTGGAGCAGCCATTTTTTTTTAATTTCAACAAAAATTCCATAACTCCGATTAACTTGAAATTTGGCAGGTGTTCATAATTTCGGTGACAATACATAAGGGAATTTTTGTTGAAATTAAAAAAAATGGCTGCTCCAAGATGGCGGACAAGATTTCGTCCGATTCCATTCAAAATTGATAAGTGGGTGTTTTTGAGGTCGGAGATCATGATTTTCTTGATAAAATTTATAAATTCAAGATGGCGGCTTCCAAATAATTTTTTGTTCTTGTATAAATGACGATAACTCCGTTGTTATCAACACAAAACTATTACTGCGACATATCATCTGTAAGAGAAAAAAAAGTTATTTGTAACTAAGTCATAGTGAGCTATGACCTACATTTGAAAACCTAAAGTTGGTGCTGATATCTCAAATTCTAGAAAAGTTGGTATCAATTTCATATTTTTTTCGAAATCACTTTGAAAAACTGCCACGAGAATGTGAAATTCCTATTTGAATTTTTTCATAAATAAAGAAGTTACGGAGGAGACATGAAAATGATCAAAATCTGTTTTTTGCGTATAAAACAAAAACGAATAGATTTAATCAAAAATATTTTTTCACATTATAGTTGGCCTTGACAAACTCCACATTTGGTGTCATTTGACCGACCTCGTATCTCTCACCGTTTAAAAGATACCCATGGTGAGCATGATAAGTGGGACACCCTGTATAAGCGATCTTTTTACAGAAACTCACCATTGGATTCTCCACCCCCTCAAATGATTGTATACCAAATTCCATTAAAAATATTTGATATTGATTGATTTGTGGCCAAATCATAATTCACATGTTGGTGAGAGAATGGCTTGGCTGAATAATAATTATTATTTCTAAGCCCTATGTTACTGCTTGCAGCCTTGTACATTTTATTGGTTTATTAATTTGTATTCAAAGAGTTCAACTGTCTGATTAGACAGTTACACATTTTATTTCTAGTTAGACATGTTTGTATTTGTATTTGAAATATACAGGGTGTTTCGAAATTCGACCGACAACGTTTGACAGGTGATAGCCCTCGTGATTTCATAATCATTGAGATAGGAACATTCGGTCTTCAAGTGTTCAGTTCTCGAGATACAGGGCGTTGAAGTTGAGAAATGAAAATAGTTGTTCCGCAATATCTCAAGAATAATTGAATATAATGCATTCAACTTCGGTATATGGTTTCATCTTTGAATGGGCCATTTTTTGACCTGGAAGCCATTCCGGACATTTTGTCCAGTGGTGCCCTACAGGGGGTTGTGGCATTTTTTCCTTCCATATTTTCTACGCCACTGATTGAATTTCGATTATTTCCAATTCCTCGAATTCATTGTTCAATTTTGTTCAGAAAATGCATCACCTTCAACTGAGCTGAAATAAACAGTTCTCGAGATATTCGACCCAAAATAGAAGATTGCATAGTAATATTTCATCATTTTCAGTAGTAGAAAATTGCAAAAATATTTTTCTGGTGTTGAGTAGATTAGATACTATTCAGATCTCATTCCATAGCTGAACAGAAATAGTTATTCCACACATGAAGAGAAAACAAAAATTTTCGTAATTTTTTACTACCGAGGAAGATGAAAAATAACTATGCATACTTCTATTTTGGGTCAAATATCCCGATAACTGTTCATTTTAGCTCAGTTAAAGGTGATGCATTTTTTCAACATAACTGAACAAACAATTCGAGAAATTGGAAATAATTGAAATTTCATCAGTGGCGTAGAAAATATGGGAGGAAAAGTTATCACAACCCTCTGTAGCGCATCTCTGGATAAAATTCTCGGAATGTCTTTCGGGTCAAGAAATTAATCAGTGAAAGATGAAACCATATACCGAATTTGAATGCATTATATTAAATTATTCTTGAGATATTGCGAAAAAACTATTTAAATTTCTTAACTTCAACGCCCTGTATCTCGAGAACTGAACACTTCAAGACCGTCTGTCCCTATCTCAGTGATTATGAAATCACGAGGGCTATCACCTGTCAAGCGTTGTCGGTCGAATTTCGAAACACCCTGTATAAATGTAGACAATAATAATTCAAACAATAATTGTGGTGAAAATTTTTCTGTTTTCGCATACAGATCATTTGTTGGGATATCAAATGAGAGGCGATACAATACTTTCATAGATTTCTTTGAAAGTGCATGTATGTTACTGAAATAATGTTTTGAACAAGATCCCCAAACGTTTATAATATAGGTAATACTGAGTACTATGGTTATGATTGTGTTATCAAGTTTTGGACATCTTCGCAAAGCTCCAATGATTGGAGATATTTTTTGTATCAGAACCAATATGTATTTGAAAAAAAAAACGTAATGTGAGCCTTTCGTAGGTTGGTGAGCGTTAACGGCAAAGGGATCAGGAACGCCACTTTGGATCAGGCGGTGCAGGCGCTCAAGGGCACAGCACCGGGGGTGGTCAGGCTGGGCCTATCGAAACCTTTGCCCAGTTGCCGGCAGAGCAAGGAATCGGTCGGGACTTAGGCCGGTTTTTCGTCGGGTAGGTGCGGTTAGAGTTCCTAAATGTACTTGACACTGCTGTTCTGACGTTTTTGGAATACTAGAGTACGGACGGACACTAGACAAGCAGTGCTGTTTTGACGTTTTTGGAAAATTAGAGCACGGACGGACACTAGACAAGCAGTGGCAATCAAACATAACCACAAACGATTTTGAAGCATATCATATGTTTAGCCACACAAGGACAAGAATATGTTTTTCGCTTAGACAAAGGTTCCTTGCATATCTTCCTCCACGAGTCCTGGGAAGAGTACATCCATATATCTTTTTCAGTCTTTGATTTTTGTATGAGAGTGCATAGTGTCTCCTCGAGTGGGTAAAAGGGTACGATAAATTGATTAGAAAATCATTTCTTCTCGAAATATTGAATGATAAGGCTGAAGGACCTCAATGGAGGTCGATATCAAGTTGGTATGTACATATATACCAAGGAAATACAAATACTATTTCTATGAAATAAGTCTCTTATATGTATTTTAAATCCTCGCAAACTTTTTGGCCTGAACCTATATTCCATGCCAGGTGCATCATATTCTGTTTCCATTTTTGTAGAATTATGTTATCCTATGGAAATTCGAATAGAGTGAATTGATTTCCTGTGTTCTCACAGTTGGAAACTGCACAAACTTGCATATTTCTCCTAATTCTCTCAATTTGTCAAACCTTCGAAATTTATGTCATGTGTACTGTCAGTTCCCGCTTTTTCCATCAATTTATTTGTGGTTATGTCCGATTGTCAAAGATTGTCACCGTGTCCGTACTTATATGCAGAAAACGTCAAACCAGCAGTTTCAAGTACATTTAGGAACTCTAGGTGCCGTTAGTCTGGTTGCCAACCTTACCCCACTGACCTGTAATTTTTGTGGTTATGTCTGACAGTGCTTGTCATAGTGTCCGTACTCTAATGTACAAGAAACGTCATAACAGCAGTTTCAAGTACATTTAGGAACTCTAGTCTGGTTGCCAACCTTACCCCACTGACCTGTGAACAACAATTGGAAGTCTTACGACCAACAAGCGAAGCGAGCACTTGAATTGGCTGACGCACCTGCGCAGTTTTCATAAACGTCAACACAGCCTGTTGTTGGTCTTTGTTTTGGTGATTTTTTTAGAACATAAGGCGATTCAAAATAAGCGATACGCCTTCTTACGGATAGTCAAGTAACTAATGAAAACTACATTGAATGTTTGTTCACATTTTAGTTTCCATGCATTTCATCGAAAGTTTAGTGGTCATTGTGATATTTTTTCGAATTTGAATTCCTCAGTAGAGTATAGGTCGCGTGCACGATGGCCGACCCTGGAGGTGAAATATTGAAACACAACATCACTTTCTTGTAAGACATTGAAACACAACCTCACTTTTTATTTGTTTATAGAGGAATCAAAGGATTGAAATAGTTTTTCTCAATATTTTGGCTTTCAAATCGTGTTTTCTGCGCTATTCATTAATTCAAGCATGCCTTCTCATTGTGCTCTTGTACACTGCACACAAAATGCAGCGAGAGACGAAGGAATATGTTTTTTCAGATAAATAGTAATCTCACATAGTTTTCATTATGAAAACTTGTCATTCCTCATTAAAATTCCTTCTGCCACTTCTGCTAGTGGATTGAAAATGTCTACAACACACACGATCATATTTCGTCAGCATGTCAGACCAGTCCTCCCGTTTGATTGTATTAGATTCACTGGATAGTATTAGTGATTGCATGAATCCAATCTTCTTGCATTCTTTTGAAAACTTCACGAGTATTTCTATTAGCTCCTATTGCAGAAGGAATTCCGATGAGAAATCGGAGAAATTACCAAATTTCAAAATGAAAACTATATGTAAGTGAGTATAGTTAGTACTTAATTCGAAATCATAATGTACTATCCGGATTCCTTCGTCTCTCGCTGCATTTTTTGTGCATTGTACAACAGCATAATGTGATGGCATGCACGAATTAATGAATAGCCGAAAAACACGATTCGTATGCCAAAATAATTGTGAAAAACTGTTTCAATCTTTGGTCAACAAATAAAAAAAGTGAGGTTGTGTTTCAATATTTCACCTCCAGGAATTTGGAAAAATGAAATCCTTACTCAAAAGCAAAGCACATGATATAGTGCGTTGGGTTGGTTCAGAAAAGAATAAGAATATTGCTTTTCTGGCTACCAGCATGAAATTTGGCATACATGATGAGAAATATATAGGAAACAAAAAACCATCGAGACACAAGCTGTGTCTGGAATATTTCTTTCTAAAATGGCGGCCGAAAACTAGATTTTTGCTGATATCTCAAGAACGGTGCAACATTTTGAAAGAGTTCAAATTCATGAAATAAAGAACATTACACGGCGGACATTTTTCGTCTGAAACATTTTCTTGTGAGGCTGATATTAAGGTCAATAAATTGAATATATTCAGTGGGAAATCCTCGTTTTCTCAAAAATTCATTTAAAATACCAACAACTACCCCGTTACCAAGTAGCCATATTCATAAAAATCCTCCTGACACACGTGTTCATCTAGAAATATAGAAGATCTTCTTTAGCCTGTTTATCAGCGGCAAGTCAAAGTGTAGGAGAAGATACAGCTCAAAACGAAGTTTCATGTTGTTCCGCTGTAGTTATCGATGGTGCTTCACTGGTTCATTCTTTGGATACAAAAACATCGAAGACATTCTCTGAATGTTGTACCAAAGTATTTCTATCTGCTATAGACTTTCGTCTCCGAAAATTTGAAAGTCTTCAGTAAATTTTTGCAGTGTGAAGAAGTAGATACTAGACTTCTCATTCACGTAAAAAGTGCAATATTGTGGGGCCATGAAAACATTTCGATAAGTACAGTGGATTCAGATGTCATTGTTATTGCTGCTGCTAAATTCCACGAGTTGAAGCAAATGGGTATGCAAGACCTTTGGTTTTGAATTTGGAGTTGGAAAAAACATGCACGTGTGATGGACAGTGTACTCAATGAACATTATTTGTAATACTGTTGTATTAGTTAGTTCACCAAGATTCTTACTGATCTAATCGAACCTAATTAAACATAAAGCCTATAACTTTATTGATATATGATTTTATTTAGATTAAAATAATTGACCGCCATTTTACGTAATGGTACCTTCGGTTTGAATCCTCAAGAAAGAGTTCATCATACAGATAACTCATGATCATGATTTCTGTGGCTAATCTCAGCCTGAATGTTTCCATTTTGATTTTTCTTGAGAAACCTTGAAAAATTGAATTTTAATATTTCGATTATTGGATTTTTGATTCGTTTGACAAAAAAATGTTTCGAACAAGAAATGTTCGCCTTACTATCCTCTATATTTCATCAATTCGAACTTTCCCGATATTTCCCACCGTTCTGGAGATATTAGCAAAAATCTAACTTTCGGTCGCCATTTTGAAAAATGGCGGCTGAAATATTCCAGATACACCGTGTGTCCCGATGGGTTTTTGTTTTCTATATAGTCATTAACATGTGTACCGAATTTCTTGCTGGTAGCCAGAATAGCAATATTCTTGTGCTAACATAACGCACTAATATGTTAAATTTTTTCTACTAGGTAGATCAATTATTCACAGATACATCCAGCTTTGAGCACAAACTCACATATGTATACATCTCAAAAACCTTCTCTCACAATAGGTGGCGGGTCGAGTGGAATGACGACGTGAGCGACCAGGGTTGCCACTGATGCCAGAGTTATCCGAATTCTTTAAACTGTGTACCTACACCCAAACAACCCGACGCAACTACAAGTTGTATTAATGTAGGACAATAATGAGGACAGAACTGCGAAATATAGTAGGCAACGAAAGTTATCCAGATGCAATTAAATTAGACCAGTTGAACGAAAGCATTTGAATAAATTCGAGAATTCGACAAAACTTAAGATATTGACTACCCTGTTGGATAGGATTTCTTTCACTGTGCTGTGTCTCCATTTTCTGATTCCGATTCCATAGGGTTGATTTCCATGTGCATATGCAACTGCATATTGTTTTCAAGGAATGCAAAACTTTTCGGAGAAATTGAGGGTCTTTCAGAAATAAGCAAGGTTGGCAACCTGACTAAATTCTCCCATTGCCAGCGAGTAACGAGATCTCCAACTGATCTCAAACGTTCCCATAATTAAAGGCTTCTTGCACTTGAACCAAAGTTTACAAAAGTGATCTCTGGTTGAACTAATCAATGCTACCTACCTCCTTTTTCCTCAGGAAACCGCTTTTCAATGCTCAAAAGAGCCGACGGAGTGTGTTTCGTTTTGGTTCAATAACACTTTTTCTTTGTTTTTGTTGAAGTCATACTACTTGGTGAGCTCTTTCTGCATGCAGTTTGAATGTAATTCAGCTTTCAATTGGAAAGATTCTCTAGATAGAGAACTGTGTAGGTAGTATAGATATAGTATATTAATGGGGTTCTTCGGTAATCCTTCCCTGGCAAATTTTCGACCTAAACGCGAATTATTAGCTTCAGATTTATTATGAATGCTAAAATACTGATTAGTGATTTTTACTGCGAATCCAAAATGACAATTGTTCATTGACAAAAAACAAACGCAACATTTTTGTAGATAGCACAGAAGCATTTTGTCCCTCTTAGGAAAACGATTTCAATCGATAGTAAATCAGATATACCCCATATTTTTTCAAGATGGACCAAATTTCAACCGTGATTGATAGAAAATTGGGAAATAATTGTTTAACCAAGCCAAGTTTCTCAGAATCGTGCTGTGAACTTCTGCTATCATCTATTTCATCTCATTTTATTATTATTTTTTCATTCCTTCATTTTCGATTTTCAAAATCTCTGAATTCTATATCTTCTTTCAAATATCATAAAATGTGAAAAAAGCAAAAATTATGCAACATTAAAGTCGCAATACATATTTATTATAGATATATCGAAGACTGACACCTTTGGCACAAAAATATACTACACTGTTTTACCACTAACCAAACCGGTTACGCCTCGACACGTGTTTCGCTAACTATGTTAGCATCTTCAGAAGATTAAAATAGTGAATTGTGAAGAGAAAAAAGCTGCAGATTGAGCTCTGCATTTTAGCTGACTCGTTCAAATTCCAGCAGATTGAACCTCGATATTTCGAAACATTGATTTTCATCAGTCTATGTGGTTCGTATTTTTCAGTTCTGAAGTCATTGCTGGTTAAATTTGGACCATCTCGTATTATAATAATCGCAAAACATTGCACAATCACAGCTTTTGCCTTTTGCCCAAGATCAAGCATGGTCGGGATTAGAATCGGAATGAAATTTCATACGGATCTACAGGGTGAAATCCCGATCAAATTTCCTTCAAACACCTACCTAAAAGCTTATATGATGATCTACACAATATGTGTGACAGATCAACCAAGGAAAAAACTTTGAATGGAAGCCTCGATCTGGTACGGAGTTTTTTCCTTGCTTTCGCTGAATATGATAAATAAGTTAGTACGCCTTCTTCAATTTAGTCGATAGTTTCATAGTTGTCTTTATATAAAATTAGACAGCTGAAGGAAACAATCTTCCATACTTTTCCATCAAATTGCAAATGAACATTTTTGTTTAAGTAGAAGATTGCTATTCTTTTCGATATTTCAACTTCTGTTTCTCGTTAAGAGTTTTGTTAGTATCGTCAACTAAAGTTGAAATTCAGATTTATTTGAATAGCACAGTAAGAATGATGATGAGTATAACTCGAAAAACTAGAATGGAATTGTAAATAAGAGTGATCACAATAAATTAGGAATTGTTTATTTTTTGAACTGAAGCTTGTATAGATTTACGTGCCATATTTATTATTTAATTTATTTTTTCTCAAATATTTAAGACTGATTTTTTTTTATTATGTACTAGCTGCAATATTCCAGAACTATTGTTGTGAAACCACTTTAGTTAAAGTCATATACTCCATATAGGAACTAACTACAGGATGTCCAAAGGTCGATGGATTTTTTCGAGCCAAACATAATTTTGTTTAGTCTCTTCCAGTTATTCGATAACTTCGAGTTTTTTTGAATAATCTTTTTCTTTTCAACTTATGTGTGTATTATTTCTGTTGATTGAAAAAAATATAGTTTGTTTTTACTACAGATATACATTTTAGCCTAGGAAAAAGCATCGTAAATACATTAGACCAAGGAGTCGTCTTACATCGTTGTTATGAAATGTGAAAAATGCTATTTTTCAAAAAACTCATTATAAGCGAATATACAGAGGTATGTAATATTCATGATTCAAAGCAGTACACATAAGCTTCCCCCTCATCTCCATAAGATTTTGCATCAACCTTTGGAATACCCTGTGAACGATTAATGGTCAAAGTCTTTCCAAATATTGCAAAAAGTCCACGTATTTTGCACTGTCTTGACGGAATGGTTTCATAATAGAACGGTGGTGCTTTGTGATTTTTTTTATTTGCGTGGACTAACCAATGCAGAATTTAGATTCACATTAAAAATGTAGGTTTGAACGAAATTACCAACAAGTCAATGTAACAATTATTACATTTATTGAATAAAATTAAATAAATAAATACGTTTTATAAAATGATTCGTTTTACTCTCCATTCAATATATCCGGCTGATACAGCAACAGGCTGTTATCAGTTTATGCTCAGGACAGCTGTTAGCATGAAGGAAACTACAGTCTGCAAATCGGCACTGGTAAGGCAGTCGATCTGAAAAATGAAAGATGAATATTTAATTATTCCAAATTTTTTGGCATTTTCTCTCCTCGTTTCTATAAAATAAAAATATGAATATTATTTCAATGTACGTGTATAGTGAGGACAAATCAGATGATTTGCCCCAAAATGTCACTGCTTTTAAAGAATTTTCCTATCAGAGAGCCTAAAAGAAAAAGAAAAATTCACTAGCTTGTCAGTGACAATTTGTATTGAAAAAAGTTTGGAGAAGAGAAATAAAGGCATATAGAAAAAATATCAAATTTTCACTTATCTTTGGACGTTTCGGGACCGATTCTGCTCCCGTTTTCAACATGAGAAGAGATTATTTCAATAGCGAAGTCGTATAATATGTCTTGAAGCCTTTCAGCAGGACAGCAAAGCTGCAAGACTGGCTTTGCAATCCAATAGGATCACATCCAATTCGGTGTCCGAGTGCAGAAAAGCCTTGGAAAACCTAGCAAAATCAAGAAAAGTCAGCCTCATGTGGGTCCCGGGACATTCGGGAATACCCGGAAACGAGGAGGCAGACAGACTGGCAAAGATCGGTTCAGGACGGACCTCGGTCGGACCGGAACCAATCTTGGGAATACCAAAAAGCAATTCCTCAAAATATGGCAGGACACACCAGGAATGAGACAATCGAAGCTCCTCATAAAGGAACCTTCGAAGAGGCTCGCAAAAGAGATTTTATTCCTAAACAGGCGAAACCATAAAATGGTAGTGGGGCTCCTAACGGGGCACAACCACCTCAATAGGCACCTAGAGCTTATTGGGATCAAGGATGACCCCCTTTGCAGATGGTGCCTGGAAGATGACGAAACGTCATCACATGTCCTCACTGAGTGTCCAGCACTGACGCATCAGAGGAGGGCTGTCCTTGGCACCATAATTTTGATGCCAGAGGACGTAAAAGAGATTCAGCTGAGGAAGCTGCTGAACTTCTCCAAGGCAGTCGGCATACCCAGCTGAATGTCGTGACATGTGGGCGCACAATGGGCTCGAATAAAGAGGCCCACGTGCAGGGGGTTCACCCGCCCACCAGTGCTTCGAAGAAGAAGAAAAAGAAGAAGAGCTTTTCAGTTTTCAATGACAATTGGTGAGTTACAGGATGTTTTCATTAATTAATCTTGAATTTACCGTTTTCATGTTCAGATTTTAGTAGTGAATACCATGTTCTGTCTATATCAACTGAACAAGAAGCAATGCTATTGTCTCCGTTCAGAAGAATGCAAGCAGATTCCTTGAAAACTGAAAAGCTTCAAGACATATTATACGACTTCGCTATTGAAATAATCTCTTCTCATGTTGAAAACGGGAGCAGAATCGGTCCCGAAACGTCCAAAGATAAGTGAAAATTTGATATTTTCTCTATATACCTATAATTCTCTTCTTCAAACTTTTTTCGATACAAATTGTCACTGACAAGCTAGTGAATTTTTCTTTTTCTTTTAGGCTCTCTGATAGGAAAATTCTTTAAACGCAGTGACATTTTGGGGCAAATCATCTGATTCGTCCTTACTACACGTATATTGAAATAATATTCATATTTTTATTTTATAGAAACGAGGAGAGAAAATCCCAAAAAATTTGGAATAATGAATGTACCACCTCCTCGATTAACCTACAGACAGTATGAATATTTAAATTGGGGCATATCAATATTTAGCAAAGAGGACTACCATGTTTTGATTATCCACCAGATCGCGCTACTGTCCCAGCTGGAATTTGTCATCCCCAAATCACCGATGTCGATAAAAAAACTGAAAATCGCTCGGACAGGTCGATTTCAATTCCATTTTCAAATGGAGCACCCTGTACACTTGGTGTCTAGCGGGAATGATTTCAGGGATATAGGGTTTCAATCTTTGGTAGTAGGTATACATATTATGAAGCATCTTGGAATTGAATGATAATTTCAAAATAAATTTGATGCTTTTTTGAATTGAATTAAATAACTTGAGATACAAATGAAACTTTTTGACGTTTTACGCTTTTTGAACTAAAATTGAAAAAAGTGCAGCCCCAATAACAGAAAATTACCATTTTCTTAGTCTCATCTTATATTTGAATCGGGG